GTATTCCAGCAATTTGTGGGGTGGGTCACAATGTCGTCTGTGGGTGATGTTAATCACAGAATGATTCTTTACAACTTCATGGAAGATAGGCGCCAACATATGTTAACGTTTCAGATGACATTCCGCCATGTTTCTTCGAAAAAGAATTCGAGTAGTGAGTACATGTACAGCACGGCAATATCATTACGTTGAAAACTGCTTCTAAACGTTAGTGGTCCGACATCCAATGCACCTTTACGTAACAACACATATGCGTATTACTTGTTCTCTGATAACAAAAAATAATCATCTAGTAGTTTAAATTGTCATAAATGTATGTTTTGAGAGCCGTGATTCTGATTATGATAATAACAGTCGTTGATGCGAATATTGCTGCACACAACTTCCAGACGAAAGCGCTAGCTATCAAAGCCAACCAGTTGTTAGAAACTCGGATCCCATTTTTAAAACATATTATTTGCAGTTGATAGCAGCTGTATTCCAACCAGACTTCTTTTATAAAAGCCTTCAGAAACAACATTTCCATGAGACCTCACGGATATGAACCACTAATTTGTGGGTAGGTCACAATGTCGTCTGTGGGTGATGTTAATCACTGAATGATTCTTTACAACTTCATGGGAGATAGATACCAATATCTGTTATGATGTTTCAGATGATATTCCGCCATGTTTCTACAAAGAACTCGAGTACATGTACAGCATGGCAGTATCATTACTTTCAATTGAAAACTGCTCCTAAACGTTAGTGGTCCGACATCCAATGCACGTATTACTTGTTCTCTGATGACAAAAATAATCATCTAGTAGTTTTAATTGTCATAAATGTGTGTTTTGAGAACGGTGTTTCCGATTATAATAACAGTCATTCATCCGACTATTGCTGCACATAACTTCCAGACTAGCCAACTAGTTGTTAGAAACTGGGGTCCTATTTTTAAAACATATTATTTGCAGTTGATAGCAGCTGTATTCCAACCAGACTTCTTTTATAAAAGACTTCAAAAAGAACATTTCCACGAAACCTCACGGATATTAACCACTAATTTGTGGGGTGGGTCACAATGCCGTCTGTGGGTGATGCTAATCATAGAATGGTTCTTTACAACTTCATGGAAGATAGGCACCAACATATGCTAACGTTCCAGATGGCATTCCGCCATGTTTCTACAAACAACTCGAGTAGTGAGTACATGTACAGCATGGCAGTATCATTACGTTGAAAACTGCTCCTAACAGTTTGTGGTTTGACATCCAATGCACCTTTACTTAACAACCATAATCTATTCTCTGATAACAAAATATAGGCATCTCGTAGTTTAATTGTTATAGATATGTGTTTTGAGCACCGTGTTTCTGATTATAATAATAACAGTCATTGCTGCGAATATTGCTGCACATAACTTCCAGACGAAAGCGCTAGCTATCAAAGCCAACTAGTTGTTAGAAACTCGGGTCCCATTTTTAAAACTTATCATTTGCAGTTGATGCCACCTATACTTCAACCAGTCTTATTTTATAAAAGACTTCATACACGTACACAACATTTCCATGAGACCTCACGGATATGAACCACTAATTTGTAGGGTAGGTCACAATGCCGTCTGTGGGTGATGCTAATCATAGAATGGTTCTTTACAACTTCATGGGAGATAGGCGCCAACATATGCTAATGTTTCAGATGGCATTCCGCCATGTTTCTCCAAAGAACTAGAGTAGTGAGTACATGTACAGCATGTCAGTATCATTACTTTGAAAACTGCTCCTAAACGTTTGTGGTTTGACATCCAATGCACCTTTATAATTACTTAACAACCATAATATATTCTCTGATAACAAAATATAGGTATCTCGTAGTTTTAATTGTTATAGATATGTGTTTTGAGCACCGTGTTTCTGATTATAATAATAACAGTCATTGCTGCGAATATTGCGTTACACAACTTCCAGACGAAAGCGCTAGCTATCAAAGCCAACCAGTTGTTAGAAACTCGGGTCCCATTTTTAAAACGTATCATTTGCAGTTGATGCCACCTATACTTCAACCAGTCTTCTTTTATAAAAGACTTCATACAGAACATTTCCATGAGACCTCACGGATATTAACCACTAACCTAGAAGTATTCTTTTATAAAAGACTTCATACAAAACATTTCCATGAGAGCTCACGGATATTAACTACTAATTTGTTAGGTGGGTCACAATGTCGTCTGTGGGTGATATTAATCATAGAATGCTTCTTTACAACTTCATGGAAATAGGTGCCAACATATGCTAATATTTCAGATGGCATTCCGCCATGTTTCTACAAACAACTCGAGTAGTGAGTACATGTACAGCATGTCAGTATCATTACTTTGAAAATTGCTCATAAACGTTAGTGGTCCGACATCCAATGCACCTTTACTTAACAACACAAATGCTTATTACTTGTTATCCGATAAGAAATATAGTTATCTAGTAGTTTTAATTGTTATAGATGTGTGTTTTGAGCACCGTGTTTCTGATTATGATAATAAAAAATTTAATTAAACAGTTATTGATGCCAATTGCGTTACACAACTTCCAGACGAAAGCGCTAGCTATCAAAACCAACCAATTGTTAGAAACTAGGGTCCCATTTTTAAAACATATCATTTGAAGCTGATAGCAGCTATATTCCAACCAGACTTCTTTTATAAAAGCCTTCAGAAACAACATTTCTATGAGACCTCACGGATATTAACCACTAACCTAGAAGTCATTCCGTGCTCTCATGACCCTCTGAGAAGATTGTAGGTCAGCGTATTTGAACCAAGTGGGAGAAAAGAAGTCTGATATTAACATGTTTGTGCACTTACGTAAACGGGGCAACTCTGGTCAATTCTAAAATTAATGGAATATTCGTGTCTTTGGCTTCTGAGACTTCAGCTGTGAACTTGAAGATACTTGAAAGTTGTATGTTTAAAGTTAAAACTTTAGACCCAAGGCAAAGAAGTTCTCTCACCTAGAGCTTTTAACCAGTCACTCTGGTCTTCCTCAGTAGACTGACCCAGTGAGGCTTGTCATGTGGCGTGTCACATGTCATGTCAACACTGGGTCAAAGGTAATCCAGAAAAAAAAACAGAAAATTCTTAAAAGTTGTCAAGAAAATGGTAGGAAACGTATTTTTATGTCGTGGTTTCAATTCTGTACATTCTTGAAAAGATTACCATTGCCTGACTTGATACGTCTCGCTCTATTGACATTTATTTGGTCACAACAAATATCATATAAGCTCCGTCATTTTGACATTGTAGTTTGCAGGTTCGTTCGTTTCGGTGAGTGATTTACTGTGCACTTGCGCCACCATGTGGCGTAACTATAAACTACACGTCATTACTCCACAACTACCTGTTGGAGCCATTTTATGCCCTACATGACACTGAGCACGAATTGTCCTATAGGTTTCCAGGCTCAGGGAGATCATGATCAGTGGATAAATGGCAAACCGAGAAAGTCTAAGAGTAATTTGCAGAGAATATGCGATGATGTCTGTGAGTTGCGACCTTAATAATATCTCTATATAGGTTTGGCGCCATGAGAATGTATGGGGAAAAGATAAGCAATTTATTGAAGTCAATGACTAACGTCATCCACTAATATGCACTAATCTTTGACTTCAGTTAAACGTCTTTATGTTTACCAAAGGAAAACATATTGCTTTTGCTCGGTTTCCTCTTCTTCTTCCGTTCCAAACACTGACCTCTGACCTTGTCAACCAGACTGTCTCTCACCATGGTAACTGGTGTTGTGTTACATCATGTTGCAATTTAATAGTAGGAGGGATTTAGACCCCTGTCACCATATATATGAATGTGTTTGAGTAAGAATAAACAGAAAATTGAAGACCATGTGCGAAGGTAAACATTATGCATTTGCTTTGCAAATGTTACCTTTCTAGTTTTAAATCTAATTTTCAAATAAACTGACCGTTCAACCTGTTCAATCTGGTAGGAATGTAGTAAATGTCCCCGACGTTTAGCCATTCTATTATTGATTGACCTGTTTATTTCTGATGAACCGCTGAGATCGGTTTAGACCTAAAATCCATACCAACCGAAATAGCTAGGAGGTGCTTTTTCACAGTAGCGCTTTCTATACATGCAGCTGGTCTACAATTTCTGATTTCAGCTACACGTAATGGGACAGGTCAGTTTCCTTTAAAGTCCAACTCGTTCTTTCTATGTTTTTATCAAGCTTATCAATAGCCATAAGTTTATCCTTATGCTTCAATAACATTTTTAAAAAAAAGGAAATAAATACAAGTTTATAGATGCTGAATCGATTAAGAGAATTTGGAACTGTAGTCCTTGTAACCTATTTTGGGTAGAAAATGTAAGTTAATTTTGGTGGTCTTTTTTTCAAATAAGGCCACACCGACTTAATTTTATGGATGACATCCGCGCGCGCATTGATTTTCGCCTGTCGCCCTCAAAAAAAAAAAAAGATCACCTCCACCGAGGCTCTGGCCTGGCTCTAGGCCTGGGTAGTCCATGCTAGTCAGCGACAAAACGGAGCCGAGCACCCAAGCCTTCGAATTCGAAGCGCCACGACTCAAGAACTCAGTACATAAGTATAGTACCGATTCATAAATGCCACAAAAAGCCAGCTTGTGCCGGCTTGTCGTATACGTCACTATGTACTGTCGGGAATTCACAATACCAGCTTTGTATTCCTGTGGTTCAGTAGCATTTTTATTTTTGGCCGGAATTTTTTTTTATTCGCCCGCGCGCACTAGTTTGGGAGTCTTCAGAGGATGTCATCCATAAAATCAAATCGGTGTGGCCTAACAGCAAATCTAAAGACGGAAACGCCCTATCCCGGCCAGTGCCCGGACATTGACTGATCGATTACAGACCCTGATCAATGTTTCGACCGCCTTGGGGAAATCTATGCAATTATCTAAATGGACTCCAAATTCAAAGGTACATCCGATAGACATGAATGAGAAGCCAAGAGTCAGCAGTAAGATGTTGCAAATCTTTTTTTTTCAATTGCAAAGCCATACATCGGATGTTTGTGGGTCACTGTGCTGATAATTATACTGAGAAAATTGAACATAGCAGGAAGGATGGTGTATATTATATATATTATACTATCGCTGGTGTACGATGACTTTGTTCAACATAAGGAGATTTTACTTTACGTTATCATAATGGGTATTGAGCTATACTACATACCTTCTAACTCCATGTACATACCAACATCTACATACTCATACAACACATAGAAAAGCTACCCGAGTAATATATCATTCCACAATTATCAAAACCGTAATCAACGCTCCTCCGTGTGATGAATTTATCATAACTTGAACCACTCTTTCTTCCTCATGTGTAAGCCATACATATATCTGTTATCACGTCCTACGTTCTACATACATAGCACCAATCAAACTTACATATATACTTCTTTGCTAAAACAACTTTTTTGCAATAACACTATGTTTCAAACCTAAAGGTCCATACACCATATTCTGACAGAAGGGTAGTGACAATCTTTCATGGTTCCTTTTCTATATGTCAAAAATATCAACGTACATAAAAAGTCATAGGTTTTTTTTAGGGAAGATATCGTGAAATATGCTTACATTGATCAACCTGGCCATGCTGATGATTTGTCATGATCTGTATGTATATGGAAGGACATTATATACTGTATAATGTCATTGGTATATGAATACACAGGTATTGGTTTAGAGGAAATTTTGTACACACTGTTTTCATCTTTCTGAGTTTCTCTTAAATCATATGTACTTTTTCTTCAAGATCATGATTCTAAGCTACACTTCAGATACTCTCGGAATATTGTAATTGATAATTTCATACTCGCAGCAGATTCAAATAGATGAATTGCATTCACAACCTCTTGTATAGTTTTTATATAAGGTATTGCAGCTGAAGGTATTGCACTGTGTCACGTGATGCACGTGACTATCACGTGATACAGAATGTGTGTGCACGTGGTACAATGGCTCTGGTGCACGTGATGCAGAGACTGTGTGCACATGGTACAATGGCTCTGTACACGTGATGCAGAGGCCGTGTTCACGTGCCCTTTACCGCGAGCTAACGTTGGAATCTTCAGGAAGCATGATCTCCTCCACGATGATTCTGGAGACGGAGTTCCAGCCGGTGTAGGCGTTCCCGCTGTGGCTGATGCCGTCACAGTTGCGCACAGATAACTCCACGTTTACCCGACCTTGTGGGACTCCGCTGCAGATGCCTTCAACTGTGTTGTACAAAAACCATGTACCATATCTTAGCTTGAAAGTTCATCTGTGTCAGTATAATTCATTGAAAAAGGATCTTTAACTGCAATTGCCAACTCAGATTTTCCGAGTGAAAGTACCACCTTGAGTTACTGAGGAAAATAACCAATTTACATCAGGGCGCTACAACAGAGACGGTGGACGCCACAAACTATCTGCTATGTCACCCGTCTGCAATTTGCATAAAGTTGCACCTTATCATTATTACAGTATGTGGAACAGGGGATGCATTCCTTGACTGTCATTCACAAAGTTAAAAGATGAAAATAGAAACTAACTTGTGGAAACCCGGTGGATGTTGAGTCCGTTCATGCCATTGCCCGCCCTTGTGTAGACCAGTCCCTCGATCGGCAGCGGGCCCGAACACTCCATCCCGTTGAAGGTGAAGTACCACCGCTTGCAGCAGCCGGTAGGACACGTGACTCTAAGTGCACCATTCCACAGGACACGTAGAGAAGAATTGCTGGCCCGTTTGTTGAAAGGACATTCCTGAAAGAAATGAAAGCGGTCGTGAGTTTACACATTTGGGGCCCTGAGAACCGTTGTTTCTGTAGTGGGAAACTGAATAGACTATCAACTAGCCTCCTGTGCAGGACTCCGAGCAGGTGGGAGTTTTGATACTGCGTTTTGTAGAATTTTAAACGGCGTAAAATCTGATTGTAGGATAGCCGGCTACCAACGGTGGTCGTACCTTGATTTTGCCGTTATCCCTGTCGTCACTAAGTTTGCGCCAGGCGCACTGCTTGATGTTGGGTGCTCGCAGCGCGGCGGATGACCCCGGCTCCCCCTTCAGACCTTTGATTCCCGGCTTGCCCGGTCTTCCCGGCTTGCCCCGGTCTCCCTTCAGCCCGTCCTTCCCGCTGATCCCGGGGGATCCTGGGACACCGTTGCCCCCAGGGATGCCATTCGTTCCCGGCATGCCCGGGGGCCCACGCACGCAACATCCGGTCTCTAGACACTGTTGCTATGGAAACAAAGAAGACAGACGAACCTGAAGAAGGCCATAGTAGACATGGTTGACAACGCAGACTTTTAGCGTTAAAGCATCGTTAATAATAGACAATAGAACAAAGGCATTTTCACTTAACATTTAGCAAGAAATATATAGTCCAGGACTGCAATGCTTATCTCTAGATCTCTTTGTCATTAAATGTTAGGGTACAATTTAACAGTGTCATGCTAAGACTATATAAGGAAATTGTGCTTTTACTATATATTTGCTGGAAGTTTCAGCAGTTCATCAGTCAGAACATGATTCTACATATTTTGATTAATTTGCCATGCATCATGCATAAAACACGCGTGCACGGCTGTTATATATCACATTAATGTTAAAAACAGAGCATTGTCTTCTGGTTGTTAGTGCCCGGTCACATTCATCGTACGATAAGTTTAAAACAGCAAATTGAAAAAAAATATCTTGGACAGTCGTGGAGATGTCGTATGACATTCGGCTTTCTTGTCGTAAGCCCTTGTAGCTGATGAATGAATACGATTTAAAAAAAAGAAAAACACGATGCATGTGGCCGCGCCGTTAGGGGATGGAAACAAGAACGTGTCATCTGTACGACACTCCTCTCAGGCCCAACCTTCTCCGGGTCCAGGTCATCAACACGATAGGAGGGCCATACCTGCGGCTGGCGGGGGGGAATACACAAGATAATACAGATTCATTGGAGAAAAGACGACGATATTGAAGAACATTAAATCCATTCCAAACTTTATTATAAACCAACGACCTGTTTTGTTCTTACCCTATTTTAGCAGTTTTCTGTTTGAAGTCATCATTTTAGAGCAAATCTTGCATTATGACATTTTTTTATATTCTTTAAACAAAAATTGTTACCATGTATCTTCCAAGAATAAGTTCCCTCCGACATACACATGATAAAAGACAAAGCAGTTAAGCATCGTTTTCTATTTCAACATTTGCTGTTCGTATGGTTTTTAAAAAGAATAATCTCCAAGCATATTCTGTGGGGCAAAGGGAGTCTATATTGGCCGCATGGGACGGTTAGCGGTTACAGGAGGACAATAGATACAGGCGGCCAATATAGACTCCCCTTGCCCCACCCACAGAATCTGCTTGGAGATTATAAAACCAAACATCATGTTGAGTTGGTTGTTCCGGAGGGGAGCCCGGCGGTTCCCCGATCCGGCTCGTTAATCACATTACTCCCGTGATGTACGATCCCGCAGGACATGGATTATTTCCTCTCCTGAGCTGCATCAGTCATTCAGCAGCAGTCCACAGGAGCGCGGCCACTAATTTGGTCTGCCGTGGACACCACTGTGTGCTGCAGACCCCCCATTTTCCTGATTAATCCGCACGCTTTATGACTTATTGAACGTAAAGATTGACTGCCCGCTCTGGTACCGACCGGTTTATGATCTTTGGATCTGGAGTGGTCTGGTAAAACTCTAGTAAGAACTTGATCTCTAGCAAGGATAACGTTGCTCTTACGAATGACACCATTGGAACTGAGAGCTGAATTTTTTACAAAACCAGAATTTAAATTTTACATCGTAAATCCCTTTGGCTTTGTTGAGTAAACGTTGCTAACCGAAGTTATACATGAAAACGACAATTGATCTGGAACTCCATATGTACACAGGTGCCGTTGTTATAACGGATGATGCAATGGGACTAAGAGCTTACTTCTACAACACGAAGCATGTCACATTGTCAATGCTGTAAGTCTCATTGAGTAAATGCCTTACGTTATGTTGCTTATACATGTACTTACAAGTCATTTCTGCTCTATGCAAGGAATCAAACGTGTCAAACACATTATGTGCATCCCTTTCTTTGGATGTTACAATTGTCATGCCAATAAAAGTCAAGTTAGGAAAAGGAAAAAAAAGAACTTACTAAAGCACGACAATCATTATTTTTGGATATAAGCAATGATCATCATCAATGCTAAATGCCATTCACATATCTGCATCTTTCAGACTGTGGAAACATTCTTTAGTACTTTAGTAATATCGTTGATATGAGGTTACGTAGAATTCATACAAAATTTGCTTAACCGTATTATGTTTCTATTGCATAACCGCTGACGTTGAACCCTATTTATGTCAATAAAGACAATTCATAACAATAAAAGCGACCCACGAGACGTACTGATGACGCACTTTCTGTGTCTCACAGACGATCTTAATGTTATTTGTAAAGTGTACTTCCGACGTAAAGTGATTTAAAACATGCGACCAATGACAGGTCTAGATTCTGATGAACTTAACTGAGAGTGAGTGTAACATCCTACGACTCAGACTAAGTTCATCTGTCTTATTTTAAAGAAATTCATGTCTCCATAAGCCTTGATTAATTCATGACCACATCCGCACACATTTAAAATTTCCCAAGGACTCTCGTATTACGACTTTGCCCGGAGGCTGCGCCTGTCATATTTTTGTTAAGACCCATTTTTCTTCCTCTTTCCTGCCTTGAAGATGCCGCGAGGCACAGCATACTAATAGATATATGTGCAATAAATTTAATTACTATGTAAGGATTATTGTTACTTCGTGCATGGAAGACTTCAACATTGGTTAGCTAAAGAAAAATGTTTTGTAAAAATCCAGTCAGTGTTGTGAGGGACGATATTTGCTAACATTGTCTTCAAATGGCTTATCATTACATGTACAACGGTAACATAGATAGCGAGGAGTTTATTTATTTTGCTACAAAAAACTGAAATGATATAGAAATCGAATTTTACACATTGTCAAATGTCTCACTATTTTACTAAAATATTGAAATGATACAGAAATTGAATGTTGCACATTGTCAAATATCTCCTCACAACTCTTTGACCTTCAACTATATGTGTAGTCATGTACAGCGAAGTGTCGCGAAATTGGAGGAAGCGTGGGTCCATAATGTGATTGACAAAACAGTCTATCCCATATCCTCATTATGATGGAAGCCCTCAATTGAGGGATTACTTTAGAAGATTGAATGCAAATGAAAAGATTTCGCCGGTGTAATCCAATCGCTGTGTGAGTGTGCGTCCGGATTCAACTGCAATCTTTTGGCTCAAGTTTTATTCTACGGAAATTGTCTTTGGTTAGTACATGATGATAATGATAGTGCTGATGCTTTCTGACATTTTGTGTTGGTTTAAAAGCTCTGGTGACCAACTTTGTTTGAGTCTAATATTAAAAGTCCGCTCTTTTGGCTCAAGTTTTACTATACGGAAAGTGTCTTTGGTTATCACACAATGACAATGATAGTGCTGATGCTTTTTGACATTTTGTGTTGGTTTAAAAGCTCTGGTGACCGACTTTGTTTAAGTCTAGTACTAAAAGTCCTCTGTCATCAACCCCTGGCAATACGTTTGATCATGTTCTTTAATGTTCATACGTACACCGAACGACACAAAGACACGAACAAAGACCAACACTACAATATATCAATGGAACTGGAAAACTGATAATCCTGTCTAATAAAATGTTGGCTTCAAAACCAGCACGACAAGTTGAATTGAGAGTAAATGAAAAACTTAAGGGCAATTCTATTGGACATAACTTTAAACTGCTAAGATACTGAGAGGAAGACATGTACCAGGTCTCTTTATGATATAGTCCATTTGCAGAGACAATATCAAAGTCATAACAACGAGCCTCCAATCATAACGATGTCGTATAGTAACTATGGTCAGTTTTATTTAGATTTATGAGGTCATCTAAATTAATAAAAGAATACGCGATGCAATCGTCTGTAGAGCTATGAGAGGAAAAGGCGTCCCTTCCCAAGAATTTGCCAGCTAGCACCCAGAGGTCGAAAACGGGTGACTACATTTATGACCAAGTTGGAATTTATGCCCGTGTTAAACGCAACCCGTAGTTTGGAGAAGGAAGTATATTTCAGGTCGTGAGGATGCATTTTAACGGCTCCAAATCACTTTGCCTCAGGCGCCTATATAACGACATGGCTGTGTCCGCTATGGTAACATGTATGCTTCTTTCAGGAAGCTTGAAAGTGCCTTTGAAGTCATTTCTGTGTTCTGTCCCCTACACTGGGTTTTATAAAGACGACTCTGAAGACAGCGACCTACATTCGCTACATGCCAGGACAATTTAATATGGTCAAGTTAAATCCAAGTACTTTCGCAGCATTTCCACAAAACGTGAGTAGTGACATCTGTTTCAATGGTGAAAACAACTTTTTTCAATCTTTTAACTGATGCAGACACGAGGATTGATGATGACAGAGCACAGATGGTGAGCGTCAAAGTTCATCAAAGCCACCATGTATAGAGTAATGAAACGCTAACCTAGCCTTTTGAGATGTCAATCCTACGCGTATACATTACAATGCAGCGTTTAAACATGAATGGATATCGTGACTACCTCTACGGCATGCAGTCTTACCTGTCCTCCCGTGTCCTGTGCCCACACCGCGGCGGCCCAAAGCCACAGGAACCCGAGGAGAAAATGAGTTCTTCCGATTGTCGCCATATTGCCAGCCCTCCTAGTGGAACATCTGACGGTTACAGGCGACCTTATGAAACCCAGTCCTCTGATTAAATGCTCGCACCAATTACGCCCTACGATTGGGTGTCGGGTCCCCGCGCGCGTGGGCAGAGAGTCGTCCGTTACGTCCGTTAACGGCAATCGATCTCTCGACCAATCAGCCGATCGCAAGGTGCAGGAAGCGGTTCTCCTCAGAGACAGGTGGCGGGAACAATTCACACAAAAATCCACAGGTCTGGTATAACAGATGAACGCCATCTCATAATAGATTTACATGGTAGAACACACAGAGAGAGAAGCGCTAGCACTTTATAGACAAATACAAACTGCTATATTCTCCCGCTCATAAATATGAGCAATACTGACAATTCACACAAAAATCCACAGGTCTATTCTAACAGATCATGTGCTTAGAATGTACAGGGTAGAACACACAGAGAGAAGGACTATCACTTTATAGGCAAATACAAACCTTCATATCCTCCAAATTCATAATGATAAGCAACACTGACAAGATTCATGCTTTTTATTCATTCAAATAAATCTACCATAAAATCTATCTGTCTATTTTTCACCAGCAATGCAAGGAGGCGAGCAGCATGTTTTATTCCCATAATAGCCTGAATGTACATGTTTCGTTCTGCTCAATCTGTTGTGACATGTACATAGTCCGATGGGACAGATAACTACAATGGAGGTCTTCTTTATTCACTCATATCGTCCGCTGTGGTTTTCGTAAAAAATGGAGTCATGATTTGATAAAGCTAGCTAATACCTACATATATTCCATTGAGGGTCACATTGATGCTCCTAATCATATCCATAACGATTTAGGCACATTTGGACAATGTCAAAACGTGCTGGGATCTAGTAGTTAATTATGTTTAGCGTCAACGAACAAGTACCAAGTTATGTTCAATATTTTACAATATCTTGAACTACGATAATATAGTATACATTTTAATTTCACTACGGTTGAAATTATATTCACAAGCCACTTTTTATGGGTGTTTCCCTTTTTGGTTAGTTAAAACCGACATGAAATTTGATTTAGATTGTATTCCACGTCTCGCTCTATAGTTTTCTCCTTAATACGTCATGTGATTACGTCAAATAATGCATACTGATTAGTGGGGCTTACCATTCAATCAGCCACCGTACCCACAGGGAGAATTATGGGTAATCTATCAGCCAATCGAATGTGGTATTGACGTTGTACAGCAACGGTTTTCCCCTGGGGATTATTTTAAACATTGAACGGATCTTTATTTCTTAGGACGGGAAGCCACGAAAACCAAAACGCTGAACTTCAATAAACAATGGAAGACTGACGTTTACAATATATAAAGTTATATGAACGCGTTAAATCTATACTACCATTATGGATATAGATGTGGTTTGGAGGTCTATCAAAAGACAGGCAAGTTACCATTGAATTGATGGACAACGTATTTAGTTCTAAACTAACATATAACTAATGATTCCTTATAAGAAGACTTATATCGTCTTGCTTGATGTGTTCTGTCTTTGGTAGCAAAAATAAAGCAAAAAAGCATCTTCAAAACCATAATCAAGTCGTAGACTATTTTCAATTGCTATTCAAAAGCAATTGAACTTGACAGAACTTGATTCTGAACTTGATAAGATTGTCTCAAAATTTTAACAGCTGTGTAATCATATTTCATTTTGATCATGAGGGCTTTTGGCACAGAATAGACATTGACGCCATACTCTGACTGACCCAGTGCCCGTGTCAAGTACTTTTTGCAATCAAATCATCAACGTCGTCTCAATACTGGGCGTCTTTTGTCCCGACCTCAATAATAACCTTCCATTGTCAGACAAAGTGCCCCAGACCTGTTACCCTTGTTAACAGCACTCGCCGGACAGGAGAAAATTGAATTTGCTTCACGGTCAAGTAAGCCTGGGCGACAGCAGGGTGCCAGATGGTAGCTGATCATTTATACATATAGTTTTTTTTATCACATCGATTGTTATACTACTAGTATATAGTCGTGTGTGGCTATGAATATAGGCGCTATGATTATGGTTTTAGTTGTGCTTTAGGCCATGTTGATTTGATTATATGGATGACATTCTCTGAGAACCCCAAAACTGATGCGCGCGTGCGAATAAAAAAACGTTTCGCAAAAAAAAGTTGTCTTTGTGGTCATGAAGGTAGAACAAATGACTAAACACACAAGAGTATGGTATGGCGAAAAAATACTCTTCATTTTCATTTCTTCACATTTTCTTCTTTTCCTTTGGAATTGGCATTCTATGACATTAGTACCGTCTTTCATTTACGGCAAATATTTGCTCATTTACTTGCTTGTACGATTTACAGTATGTTTCTTTTTGGAAACGGACGAAAATTCTTGCGCGCGGGGATGTCATCCATATAATTAAATCAACACGGCCTTAGCGTAGGTATGACTCATCGTGTTTAGGACGCTAAGCTTTTTGGCAGGATCTCTTTCATACATTTGCCTCTATTTGGTCCTTTAAAGATTGATGTTCAGATCGATATCAAATGTTTGATAGGCTTAGTAGTCTGCTTTATTCCAATACCTTGTTGCTTGATCTAATCCAATGACAATTCAAACGTGCAGATCTAGGTTAAACAGAGTCCAAATGAGACAAATTGCCGGCTCGTTTGTAGACATCAAGCTAGCCACTCACGAGTTACAAACCATACTGAAGATAAAATATGTACATATGTATATCGTTTTGAGTTATTCTTTCGTATTATTGTGTTTATTTTACTGATATATACGACTTAATAATACTTTCAGTATTGTAACTCTACCGTTATTCGTTTTCATTTACAACAATTTCAGATATCTGTTTACCTCGTTTACATTAATGTAGGCTGGATCCTTGGATTGCGTTCTGTTTGTTGCAAGTGTCTCCCAAGAGTTAATATATGTTATATGTTAATGAGTATTTATGGGAAATGGAATGTTTTTTAAAACATGGATCTAACATCTCCCATGGCCGTACCAATGATTCTGTAGCCAGTGTCTTGCAGCATGTCATGAACTGGACCTGGTGAATGCTATGCCATGGTGGCATAGCATAGACAGCCTTTTTTTAGGTTTGATAAATGATTGAGTTGGATATTGAATTCCCCATAGTACTATCAGTGCAAGGAAATCAGTAACCACAGGGTACACAAATTGAATAAGATCAGTACACTTTATTGCCCACCAGATATATTGTCATAGACTCTTGTCATTCATGATCATTTAGCATGGTCATTGGTCAGCACGATAAAGTACTTATTACGGACACACTGTTTGTAGTAAGGAATTTGTAATTGCGATTTACATTTATCCACTACCTATAGGAGTAATTTCGACATCTCCCAAATAATATACTATCCCTGTTATATATTTTGTTCTATCTCAAAGTCACCCTATTTGTGCTAGCACCAGACATACTATTATTTTCTCTCTCCGATTCGATTTTCGTACATTGATACTGAAATTCGCTTTCCATGCAAAGTATTACTCCGAGTTTGATACATTGTATGAAACATTCTTGATTGCTCTCGTAATTGTTGAAAAAAAATCTACTTTCATTAGACAGCACTGGTGTCCACATTGAAATATCTAGTTCATTACATTGTCGTCGGACCTGAATTCCTGCTACAGTAACTACACTTTTCTTCATGACCATGTGCAGACAGTTTTTAATATGCACAAAGTTGCACATATAGAGTATGGCGCCTTGTCATCTAAGTTAAGTTGATCCTTACATGTAACCCATGTACACAGTATACATCATACATTCTCTAAATACATTAACAGTCAGTAACATTTGGTGCCACAGATAACTTGCGTATTCATGTATTTATAAACAAAACAACACCCATCTATCAAATTTCCTACGATGTCAATATTATATCGTTTTGCTTCGCATCACCAATACGAAGTACATTAATCATGTGATTTTCATGTATACAACATCGGTTGGAGCAGCTTGTTTTACATATTCAGCACTTGACACTGGATCTAATGACCACATGTACTATCTTCTTCACTTCATGTCGTCGGAGTTGTTTGGCAACATGATCTCCTCCACGATGACTCTGGAGACGGAGTTCCAGCCTGTGTAGGCGTTGCCGCTGTTACTGATGCCCTCACAGTTCCGGACCCACAGCTCCACGTTAACCGGACCTTTTGGAACATTGCTGCAGATGCCTTCAACTGTGGAGAAATAGGGACGTTACAATGTAAGTTCCCAAGCTTTAGACAAACTAGAAAAAATCGAATTCCTTATGAAACTTGACAAACCATGTTTCATTATCTCAATATGTTCGTACATCTTTAACTGCGTCAAAAAGCGAGAAGTTGAACCTGTAAATAGTAGATCACATTAGTATATACAGTATGTAAGTGTCATTGTTGTATTCTTTTTCCCTGTCAACTCTTGACCTGTACTTAGCTTGTTAGAGCACAAACGTACAATAAAAGTCTTTCATTCATTCATCAATGTCAATGACCAGGAATGAAGGCCATGATACAGGGTAATACAATGACCCCACAAAAAGCTATAACTTAGCGATCAATCGCTTCTATGAATGGCGTCATTTTATGCAGACAAGACATCTTTACTTGATTAAAGTTTATGGCGTCCTCCGTCTCTACTAAGGAACGGTTGTAAGTCTCTGGACCTGATGTACATGGCAATTCTATTACTAAACTTGCAAAAACACAGGCCACGATTCGTCTTTCTTTAGAATGTTCTCATACCTCTAGTACAAATTAAAGTTCTTAATTTGCATCTTAGAGAAATCATAAAGACCGGCCAGGAAAATAGAATTCGTATGAAAACTCACTGGAGGAAACCCGGTGAATGTTGAGTCCGTTCATGCCGTTGCCTGCGTTCGTGAAGACCAGTCCCTCGATCGGCAGCGGGCCCGAACACTCCATCCCGTTGAAGGTGAAGTACCACCGCTTGCAGCAGCCGCTGGTCGACGTCACCCGGAGGGCTCCGTTCCACAGCACACGGAGAGAGGAGTTGGCTGACAGCTTGTTAAACGGGCACTCCTGAAATTAACGTCGGATTGCTAATTGTTCACTGTTCACTTTTTTGAGTGGCAGGTACCTTTAGGCAATAAGTGGTGTTAGCTTAAACCCCTAGCGACAAAGTCGAAATCGCAGGCGTCCCTTTGTCGGAAACATTATGACTAAAAAAGGATGGGTGGATTATTTCTTTAGTTGTGAGTAACTTGTTACTGAGTATGATATGCATTCAGGTAACTTTATATCATAATGTTAGCAATATGTATAAGTGAGCAAGGATGCTTTACGAAACACAATTAGTGAGACTTTATGACTCACCGTGATTTTGCCATGGTCACGGTCATCGCTGAGTTTCTGCCAGGCGCACTGTTTGATGTTGAGGACGGGTAACGCTGCTCCTGTGCCGGGCTCTCCCTTCTCTCCCTTCGCCCCAGGTTTTCCCGGCCTCCCCGGCAGACCCCGGTCACCCTTCTCGCCGTCCACTCCGCCCAGTCCGGGAGATCCGGGAATCCCGTTGCTTCCAGGAACGCCATTGGTTCCGGGAATGCCCGGGGGTCCGAGCACGCAGCATGCGTTGTCTTGACATTGCTGTGAAGGAAAAAACCAACAATATTATTGTTTGTTTGTTTGTTTGTTTGTTTGTTTGTTTGTTTGTTTGTTTGTTTGTTTGAGTGTGTCATTGATGGCTAATCAAATAAGAACAGATCATTCTCATCACACGTATAAGTAGAAACAAATACGAATCTGGCACTAATAAAAACGATATTGTGAGATAACTTTTCTGATACAGTTTGCTTAGAATTGTTTTTACATGTTGCTGCTGTGGTACAATACACTGCACATGGTTAGGTAATTCGATAAACCTTAATCAATTTATTAAGAAACTAGGACAGTCATTACTCATCGCTATCTACTTCAATCATTCTTTTCTCTGTAAATATTGGGACATAAAAACATGCTAAACCCGCTTTATATCAGTCCATACACTCCAAACACTTCATAGTGACATGTAGCTTTTATTTAGGCTTTTGCTACTTTTGTGCGTACGTACAATGAGAACTTTAGCCGAGGTTTAATTACACTCAGTAAGATTGATAATTGGAGGTCAGAGGTCAGCCTCCCAAGGGAGACGTGTCTTCAGCGCTCTTACACATGTTTGGATTTATTTTCTGTTTATCCGCTTTTTGACTCTTCGGAAACGTGCCATCTTGTGTCGGAAGTTCCCTAGAAGCAGCCTAGCACCAACCAGGCTGATAGACAAGCCAGGACACAGAGGCTGATCGAGAAAGGAACACGGCAGCATGGCTGGGAGAAAAGACATGGCGGCCGCCATGACGCAGCCCCCCGAAGTTACACCTTCAACAACGCATGAGAAGTCGGCTACAGGTACTGTAACCCCAGGTTGTAAACCCGTCTTCTTTCTAGAGAGAGATGTGCACTATGTCGACGTCTCTAGAGACGAGCCGTACTTCACAAATGTTGAAGTGTATAAAGGAATTTCGCGTTTTCTTCACGGAACAAAGATCTCCGGAATTCAGCAAGTGCGTGGAATGTGGCGAATTTACATACGTGAACCAGCCGATCGCGCCAAATTGCTGGTAACTGGATTTACTCTCCGCAATAAACATGTTGAACTCCGAGATGTGCATCCTTTCAGACAACAGGATGGAGTTCGGGTAACAGTTAGAGACGTCCCTCTGTCAGTGGATGATAACGTCATCATGGAAGGCCTGAAGAGGTATGGCGCGAACCTTCTAGGGCCATTGAGGCGAGAAAAACTCAGAGTGGATGGAAAGTTAACTAATTGTGAGACTGGGGACAGGTTTGGGTTCATGCGGGAACCTGCTAGCCCTGCAGAACACCTGCCCAGAAATGTTGAGTTGGGCGGTCGATGGAGAGCCCGCGTATTCTATCGAAACCAGGGATTCGAGCAACAATGTCTTAAGTGCCTAAGCAAAGATCATCTGAGAAAAGACTGTACGTCTGATTGGCGATGCTCCCTCTGCAATGAACTGGGCACAGCGAGCTGACTGTGCTGGTCTTCAGCAGCCGGTGTCTACAGTAGAGAGGCGACAGAGGAGCAGAGAGATCGGGACAATGACCGCGGCCCTCTGCTTGACGTCTCAGGCCTTAACTTACCGGAGGTTCGATCCTCTGAAGACACTGATGGTGAAACTGGAAAAGACGAAACGGCTCCACCGACTAGTGGGCAACGCCAGATTACAGACTTCACCACAAAAAGAGGCAGGAGAAAGAGAGGGAAAGGTCCCAAACCTGGAGGTCAGCCGGTTGCCAGAGTGACAAGAAGTGCTGCCAAGAACAGTGACAATAACGTATCCAGAAGAGGATTGGCTAGACCAGACCGACCCAGTGGTAGCAGCCAAGTACATGAACCTGATCCTAGGATCACGGAACTGATTGAAGCAGGTCGTTACTCATGGAGTAACCCTCCAGGTACTGTGGCGATCAGCTCATCGATGTGCTCAAGTGACGACGAAACATGAACTCTTACGGACTATTGAACTCGTGTAAGTGATTAATTTGTTCCTCATGACAACTAATATATCATTTATGTCACTTAATGTCAGGGGATCACGAGGTACACAAAAGAGACGAAGTCTATATTACTGGTTTGAAAAACAAAAAGCTGATGTTTTCCTTTTACAGGAGACATATTTTACAGATGATAAAATTAATATCTTTGAATTAGATTGGAATGGCCCCCAGTTCCACGACTTTGGTGGACAACACAGTAAGGGTGTGTCTATACTTTGCAAGAAAAACATAAAGTTGGACGTTATGGAGGTAATAAAGGGGCAGGATGGTAGAAGATTAATGATTAAATGTAAAGACTTCACTCTCTTGAATGTGTACGCTCCTTCCGAGCGGGGAGAACAAGTATCGTTTCTCACTACGCTAAAAGACTGGATAGTGGTAAACAATGTGGATAATCTTGTCGCAGGTGGTGATTTTAATATGATTAACGATCTGGTCTTAGACAGGTCCAGCAAGAGACAAACCCAATTTACTGCACCTGAAAAAGCACTTAGCAGCTTTAAAAAAATGTTAAGCCTCGTAGACATATGGCGGGAAACACATCCCCATGTACGACAGTACACCTGGAGGAGACAAAATCCAGACCCTGTTTCTAGCAGATTGGATTTTTGGCTTATCCACAGATCGCTAGCTGCGCATGTAGCAATATGCGATATAAGATCTTCTATTAAAACAGATCACCTTGCAATCTTTTTGAAACTACATTTCGAAAATGCTTCTAGGGGACCTGGATTTTTGGCGCCTAAACACTTCACATCTCAGTGATGAGAAATATGTTAAAGGAGTTAAGTCTACAATACAAACTGTTGTTAGTGATTGTAATTACCTTGATGTATCCAAACAACTAGTTTGGGAAACTTGTAAGAAGAAGATTAAGGAGTTCTCTGACTCCTATTCCAGGGCTAAAGCCTTTAAAGTGGATACAACACTTGAAAAGTTAGAAAAGAGACTTCAAGAACTAGAGAGTAAGTTAGATGATAAACTTGAAGACATTGTTCTAAACGAATACACTCAAATAAAGCTAAAATTGGAAAATATATATGAATATAAAGCAAAAGGAGCACAAATTAGAGCTAGGGCAAAGTGGACAAGAGAAGGGAGAAAAGTCTAACAAATTTTTCTTGAATCTTGAAAATACTCGCTCAAAACAAAATACCATTACTAAATTAAAGAATGGAAATGAAGAAGAGACAAATCCGTTTAAAATTTTAGACTTGGAAGTAAACTTTTACAAAAACCTGTATTGTTCTAAGAACCCTGCTACTGATGAACAGATTGATACTTTTCTTGAGTCTGTTGAGGTACCCTCTCTCACAGATGAGGAAATGCTACTGTTAGATGAACCTATAACTAAAAATGAATGTTTCGCAGCATTGAATGCGATGAACCAAAACAAAGCGCCTGGAATTGATGGCCTTCCTACCGAATTTTATCTGAAATTCTGGGATGAAGTAGGAGACTTGGTCTTCGAATCCCTGTGTGAAGCAATTGAAAGCAAATACCTTTCTGTGTCCCAGAAGAGAGCTTTGTTAAAACTTATTCACAAAAGGGGGATAAGACTAACTTATCCAACTGGAGACCAATTAGTTTGTTGAACACTGACTACAAGATACTAGCTGTGGTATTAGCAAGACGAATGCAGAGTTTCTTACCGAAACTAATTTCAGAAGATCAGACGGCTTATATTAAGTCAAGGTTTATAGGACAAAATGTTAGATTGATACAAGATGTTATTTATTATTCTAATTTTTACAACCTACCTGCAGCAATCGTCTGGCTTGATTTTAAAAAGGCATTCGATTCAGTTAACTGGAATTTTATGTTTAGAACGTTAAATAAGTTTGGTTTTGGACCTACTTTCACTTCAATAGTTAGAACAATGTATACTGATATTGAAAGTTGTATCGTCAATGCAGGTTGGAAGTCTGCCTACTTTAAATTACAACGAGGAATCAGACAGGGATGTCCCTTATCTGCCTTATTATTCAACCTTGTAGTTGAAATTCTAGCATCTAAAATCCGGCAAACTAGCATTGTTGAAGGAATCAAAATTGAGATTAATGATATCATTCTTGAAACAAAAATAAGCCAGGTCGCTGACGATACAACTCTCACCTTGTGTGGTGATAACTCTATAAAATGTGCCCTACAGATTGTAGACAATTTTAGTTATGTTGCTGGGCCCACGTTGAATCGAAAGAAGTGTGAAGCCATGTGGATAGGGGCCAATCGAGGAAGAAGAGATACTCCTTTCGGAATCGATTGGCCGAATAGGCCCGTTAAGTCCTTAGGTATTTATTTTGGTTACACGGAGGAAGAGTGTGAGATGTTGAACTGGGAAACCAGAATACAGAACATGGAAAATTTACTTCAGAAATGGCGTAGGCGAAAACTAACTTTTTATGGGAAAGTCTTGATTATTAAGACGTTGGCAGTATCACAAATAATTTACAATATGAGTATGATCCCAACACCTGATTGGGCCCTAAAACGAATTGAAAAAGCATGTTTCTCCTTTCTTTGGAATGGTAAACCAGACAAAATAAAAAGAAAAGTACTGTACTTAAACTATGAAGATGGTGGGATTAGGATGATTGACATATATGCTAAATGTAAAAGCCTACAAGCTTCTTGGGTCCGTAGGATTATGGAAAATCCAAAGGACCCAAGTAGAGTAAGTAGATGGAGACTTATACCTATGCACTTCATTGAAAAGCTTGGGAAAAACTTTTTAGTCTTTCGATTTAATTTTAAACAAAGGGCTGATGCACCCCCTTTGTTAAGTCTTCCACCTTTCTATAGAGAGGTAGTTTACGCTTGGCATGAAATGGGTGGAGGAAAAACGGATCTCGCTTCGGTGCGAAATGAAATTATTTGGTCCAATGAAAACTTTAAACTTAATAAGAAAACACTTTTCTTCAAAAACTGGATTGATAGTGGTATCATTTATGTTAGAGATATATATATTGCTTCAGATTTCATATCGTCAGAGTCTTTGCTGAGGAAGCTATCTAATAAACACAATTGGTTGTGTGAGTATTCTTGTATTAAGAGGTCAATAGGACGAAAATTGTGTAATGACGATTCTGCAGCAAATTTATGTAATGAAAATGACATGATATGGTACAATGAGACATGCAAAATAGTGGATATGTTTACTAGCAAGTATCTATACTCAACATATGTGTCATATACATGTAGCAAACCAACTGCCCAAGCTTATTGGGAAACTGTAGTACCTAATCCAGACTGGAAGGCTATATGGAAATGTCAGATCTGTCAAATTAAGAATAACAAACTGCGCGAATTTAATTTCAAGTTATTACACAGAATTTTGCCTTGTAGGTACTTGCTACATAAGTGGAAAATACGAAATGTATCAGGAAATATTTACAGTCCTTACTGTGAATTGTGCAACAAACTTGAAAATTATCAACATATGTTTTTAGAGTGTCATAGATTAGACAACTTCTGGAGTAGGATAGAAAATGAAACACACATTGTTATTAATGATCAAGAAGTGTTACTCGTGAGAAATAGTAGTGCAAAAATCATAACTGTTGCTAAATACGCAATATTTATTTCTTGGTTAAAATGGAAAGATGATTATAGAAAGAAAGATGATGTATTCCTAATTTTCATGAATTTGTGTCAAACTTATATTTGATTTTCAGTTAAATTATCAGTATTTTCAAGTATGATATGTATATGATGTTCACTAGCAAGTATCTATACTCAGACAATTTCTGGGAAAATGAAACTCATTTGGTTATCAATGATTATAACTGTTGTTAAATACGTATACTTATATTCACATTGTATGATCATGTATCTTATGTATATGACTTAAGAGCTTTGAAGAATAAAATCGTTACAAAAAAAAAAAGAAATTGATAATTGGTCCCGCCTCCGTTCCCTTGGGCGTATCGTATATCATCAAGGCAGTTCGCCAGAGAAAACAAACTGTAATTCATTCAAATTTTCTTTGGATCTATGATACATATCTGCTGAAAATCAACGTTAATTAAATTATATGCACCCATTGTGACGGAAAGATAAATGTTTTGAAGAATTTCTAAACACAGAGATCAGACATCAAGACGACCCGTAACAAATACTCGTATCACAAATAAGTTTTGTTGGCTCAAGCATTGAGGCCATTTTCAATGCCGGTTTTTTCATCTTTTGCTGTATTTCTGCCCCATCCGCAATATATACTACATGTCATTGTACCTAAGTGACTTAGGAAATAAACATTACGGAAAAAAACTGCCCAGGGCAATACATGCAGAAAATCTTGCCCTAAGGCTAGAAGTGGGAGAAGTCAGTCTCTTTCCTCTCGGCAAGCCGATATGTCACGGAAACTTCCGACAGATGCCCGAAGGGGGAGGGAATAATCTCCAAGCAGATATAGGGTGCGGCCTTGTGTTTGTGTTTTACATGTATGTCTTATTGTATGCAACTTTGTTCGTTTTTCTATTGGTTGCAGGAGGCATAGAGCTGAAAACTTGGACAAGTAAAAGGACGCTTGAAATGCCGCATAAAACACAAGAGCTGGAGATTTGGAGGAGGGGACAGACTTGGGGTGTAATGTGAAATCTCATTGAAGAAGATTCCCTAACAGAATCCATTTTTTTCATCTTAGTTTACAGAAATCAGACATCTGAAGATTCCCAGCAGCTTCAGCAATTAACTACAGCTGAGATGAAAAAAAAAAACTATTTCGGAGGAAAAGAAGGATTTATAGTATATAAAGATATAGGATATAAAGCTACCTTGTATAAGAATGAATGAACTTTATTGCTCGACAGTAGTACATGGTACCATGTGTGACAACAATGACAATGTGATCAATACAGTAATTTAAATATAAACCTAATGTATATGATAGTTGAACATATAAAAGTATATAACTTTTCGCCTAATCACCAAGACCACAGATCTATGCATGTTTTCCCATCATTAATCGTGGTATGAGCTTGCAGAGATTGGACTAACCGGTCCCTGGGGCCACGAGGATCGCTGGTAAAGATTACCGATGTCAAACACTGGCCGCAAAATTGAAATTTGAATTGAACCAAAACGGCCAATTTCGGAACAAGTGTGTGTAACGTCAACGGGTCCTATTGTACATTTCGCACACTCGATTTCATTTCCTACTCCAATGAAATTAGTTCCTTTTGTTCCGCTAACGTCTTTATGTGTTTCCCTTGTAGAGGGAATGAATAGGAGGAGAGAATAGGAGTTCAGGGAGCACGCACACCAATTGAAAATCACTACTAAAAATGCATGAGGTCATTTAAATTAATAAGAAGGGCTTCACTCTCTTAATTTTGTGGATACAGATGCCTCGATCACGTTTCAATGACAAAAGTTTGCAGGCATTGATTAATTCCATAGCCATTTAGACCCAGCTAACTCTGCAGTCCGAAACTACATCTCACTTTATTTCCCCAAGCTAATAACGGTGCTAATACTGCTCCGTGACCCTGCATTTTTCTTCCAACACGACAAAAACAAAGAACGGTTTTCAGAGGGCATTCTAGGCACGCCGGTTTGTTTGGTATTGCGGTTAGCCGCCATTTCGATCGCCAGAGCTTTCATTAAGTCGCCTTTACACCTCATTAGTCTGTTTTCTGATTAAACCCAGACGAGATTGCCTCCCCATGCACCCACCATACAAATGTGTATCGCCATTGATATCTTGTTGAGCAGGGAATCGTACCGGAAAAGACGCCCAACATATCACTGTTGTCTGAAGATATTTACCTCTGATTCCGTCACCGGTTGGAGATACAAAGCGATGGCAAGTTCTCTCATTTTTGCGCATGTGACCTTCATCCAACTATGACGTATACATTACATGGTTATAACCGTACTCAAGGTCACAGTATAAATAAGAGAAAATAAAAGTGAAGTCATCTTATAAACCATTTGTCTCTGGTCCCGTATTTACCACACACATTAACAGATGTACTACAACACTTAGCGAAAATCATCGGTTGTCAAATACACATATATCACACGGAAACATCAATAAAATATCCAGCAAAACTTACCTGCGAGCCAGTGTCTTGGCCGAATACTGAGAGGACCAAAAGACTGACAAATACGAGGATAGAACCAGTCCTGGGATAGGCGTCCATTTTGCAGCACCACCCCTAAAAGAAGTGAGAAAATAAAAAGGTCGTCCCAAAGATGACCGGAGACTAATTAAACGCCTGTCCTATCGGTGCTTCTGGGTAGTTATAGACGGGCTATTGCGCATGATCGAGTCCCGCGAGTTTTTTTGTGGGGTTTGTGGATCGATGATCGGGTGCGGGAGGGTAAGGAAGGCGGACTGAATGTTTCAGCACACACGGAGCCAACAACAGATGAGGGCGGCACGCATCGCAGCACAGGACCACCCGGATTACAATAACCACGTCTTCTGGGATTTACGACGAAAAAACGGAGCTAACAAATCGTGTCGTGGGTTTGTCCACACGCCCAGAGGGAACGGGACGCATGACTAAAACAACCCATTACTATTCCCAGCTTGCCGACACGCCGCTCCGATGAGTTGACATAAACCGCTAATTTGTTACCGTACACCGTGGGCATGGGGAGGGTGTTCATCATTCAAGAGCTCCGAAAGAAGTGATAAGTTTTGCAATACATCTTCACAAAATATCAATTTTATGACACTGTCACTTTTAACCAGACCAAGCTGGAGAGGTCCTTTTTATCCAGAATTCCAAGATGTGAGAATAAACAAACTCAATAAACACAGTAAACACAAGAAATAATCTAACATGAGCAAACTGGCACTGGCAAACTTTAGTCCTCAATCAAGTCTTTCTAGAATTCAATTTTTTTCTGTAAAAACAATAGAAGTCTACATTTTCAAACCGATGAATATAGAGGCAGATGGGTCGTTTTCTACTCTGATTATATTTTACTAACAATAGATGTACTTCAAGCATTGTTCTTGCTCTGCAGAGGATTTAAAACGACCGTCCACAATCAATGCACGGCAAAAAGAGCAGCTGATCCGAAGTTAAGGTCGATTGTTGCCGGCTGAAATTGAAACGGAAAAGGACGATGACTTCGGACAAAGGTTTTCGTAACTGCACTTCAACTCCTCTATGTAATCTCCAAGCAGACTTGTGGAGTAACAACGTCGACTTCTGAACTAAAGGTCATCCCTCATCGTAAAATTCTGTCTTTTGTCAAGAACCAATTCTCATGATGATTATTTTCTTAAATTGATTGTAATTGAACTTCGACCTTCTATTCCTGCACTAAATATAAGGCATTGTAGTTATTCTTCCGTCAACCCTTTGGTTGCTTTTTGCTTTGTTTGACTACCTGCAAAATAACTATTCAAAAAGGATACCAAAGGACATTTTTATATATTTTTGCCAAGAATATTTCTTTTTATCTAGCATTTTGCATTTTTTGTCTGTTGACGGAAACGGCATATTTACACACTTAACTATTCAATTAAATCATTCCTTCCGGTTTTTATCTTAATAGTGATCCTATAATAGATGCTATAATAGAAGAAGATCCTATAATTACATTTGCCTAATCCAGAAAGCCAGACCGGTTTCAGAAGATACCAGCAAACCCCACCCTTCATGTTTGGAGTGATAGAATATGTGATCACATTTTATAACTAGAATGAATCAATGTTTATAATGTAGAATGTTAAACATCATCCAGTACGGTATCCTATCCTGTCGCATCGCCGTAAACCAGGTGATTGCGGCAAAACGTGTCTGCTCGTTCCTTTGTCGTAAACTTTCATGTAGACAACTTTGTCTGTCGTAAATTGCGATTGGAGTACACCAATCGGCTTCGAATCTAACATCATAAATGTTACAAAAACGTATTTTATTTGAATTGCACTGCATATCAAACAAAATGACATGTTTGCCAGATATGAAAATAGAATAGATCCGAGTTGAGTTGAGTTGAGTTGAGCCAAATAGATTGATTTAATATCAAGCATATACTTCAAGCAAAAGCAAGCAAAATTCTAACACTCTTTTACTTTCAATACCTGTTTTAATTTTTTTTCTGTGGTACTTTTCAAGAATACGTTGTTGAAATATGTATCGCAGTAGTAATGAACATCACCATAAATATCTCAACTCTTCCCCTTGTATACATGATATCTTCCCTTGTGGTTAGTTTCATTTTGCCACAAAGTCCATAATTTACCCTCAGCACCAGATTATCCGTCAAACGACGTCGTTTCACATGACAAATGGACCGACCTCTCTGCTCTGATCCTAAACATTCAGGAGGATATTTTCTGGTACGATGTTCCATCGGTACCCTGTGTATTGTTCGGGTGACCCCAGCGTCCAAACTGACTGATTACTTTCAATAAAAACAGTTTTTGCTCACATGTGAGCCCGCATGTGTCACTCTGAGGTCCCATCTTCACTGCATGGAGACAGTCGAGCGACTAACATTGGACATGCATGACCTAGAACTTTACGAATTTTAATATGATCCATGATTTAAAAGTACGTTGTGTAAATTTTCAGTTATATTAAGTTCTAGCATACATTACTTTCATGCCCTTTTACATTTTTGTCACTTTAGCCTTGAGTTTACCTATACACCATTCTGAATCAGTTTTATTTAGTTTATTTATCTACTTATTTATTATGTAAGTTTCGTGATTTAAGTTTAAAGGAGGAGGACATTGTAAAAGTCATACAGGCTTTTTTCCTCCCCCTGCACACTGTTTTTTCCTTAGTTTGTTTTGTATATTTGTTTTATTTGTGCCAATATATAAAATGATATGCAAGACGACAAAACACACGAAAAATATATTTCTTTACCAATAAAATTTGTCTGGACTACTAATGGAATTTTTAGTTGCTCATCGGTCCCCGCCTCCGAGGAAAGGGTGCAGAAGATTTGTTGCCTTCCCTGAATTGTAATTCCAGCGCCCGCTGTGATGCCCCGACTCTAACCATGCCCCTGGCACGTAAATAACCTACCGCTACCTTCATGTCCTTGGCATTGGGGTTTTGGGAGACGCTAAATCAAAACTTCCCGTCCGACCCCCTCAACTAAGGGTCGCCAACCTTGTGGAGTAATTTCCATGTGGATTCATAGCGCTTTGTCGCATGGCGTTCATATGACACGTACATGTATGTGAAATAACCGACTTTTTGGTCAATACATGAAGGGCTCTCCCCAAGCAATTAAGCAAGGGTGCCCCCTCTCCCCCAAATCCTAGCACCTCTCCCAAAATGTTCAAATTTAGGGTTTTCTTAGTATTATCATTAAAATAATACCAAAATAGCACCTCTCCCCTAAAAATTTCTGAGGAGACCCATGACATTAGTTGTCCAAAAAAAATTCTACTCCGCCTGTACCGTCTACAAACATCTTAATTTGTCAAGAAGTTTAGATTAAGAACATCGATCTGTGTGAAATTAGAGTGAACACGTTGTCTTCATTCGTTGTGTTTATCTTGTCATTTGCAATTAGTCTCCGGGGGAGGAATTCGCAATATAATCACTGTGTTATCGACTTCGACAGTTCAGATCTGTCTTTTTTCTAATCAGTGAATGAACATTGATGACACTGTCTTAGTCAATTTTTCTATCAGGCGAAACGAAATCCACATCAAGGCCTATCTAAAGTGGCCAGCTCAAGACCTGGTCAAGCAGCCATTCCCAAAGATTTATATACCTCCACCCATTAAGTGTAATTCATGAAAGGTTAACATGTTTCGGCATCCATACCTGTCTGCTAGTCTGAAGGAGCCATGTATCTAACCCCGTTAGCCTCCATTTTGTTAATTAGTTACGGTTCCTGCGGGAGCCATCTCATCTCGTTTGCTATCCATCAAGACTCGAGAACTGGGAGGAAACGCAAAAGTGCTTCCTGGAACTGCTAGGAAATTTGACGTAGCAAAAAGGAGAGGTAAAACTAGAAAGGTAACATTTGCAAAGCAAATACATTATATTTACCTTCGCATATGGTCTACACTGATCTGTTAATTCTTACTCAAATACATTCATATATATCTGTATCTGTATAGCCGGTATAACCGCCCTTCGGTCAGATATATGGTCAGATAGGAGTATAAATCCCTCCTACTATAAAATTGCAACATTATGTAACCCAACACCAGTTACCATGGTGAGAGACTTCAACAAATCAGGTAATTGACAGGTCAGAGTTCAGTGTTTGGAATGAAAGAAGAAGATAAAACGCAGCAAAAACAGTATGTTTTCCTTCGGTAAATATGATAAACAATATCTAACTGTCAGTTTAATTTGTCAAGAGCTCGGCTGGGAGACTCTGTCCGAAAGGCGACACATTCATCGCCTATTACTATTTCATAACATTGTAAACGGATGTACTCGGGAATATCTTTCAGATTTACTTCCATGTACAATTACTGCTACTTCTATCTACAATCTGAGAAACAGTAGTAATCTGAGAACCATCAAATTTTCTACCAATCGTTTTGGAAAGTCTTTTATACCATATTCCATTACTGGATGGAACAATCTGAATTTAGACATCCGTGCTCTTTCGTATCCAAAATTTCGTTCAAATCTTTTCAAATCGGTACGTCCTGTAAAGTTTAACTATTTTAGCTTTGGTTCTCGTTATTCCTGTATTCTCATTACCCGACTTCGTCTGGGCACCTGCAGCTTGAATCACAGTCTTTATACCCGAGGTCTTGTTACAAGTCCATCCTGTAGCTGCGGGTGTCCATATGAAACGATTGCTCATTATTTATTGCACTGCCCTATATACACCTACCAGCGTTTAGTCCTTTTTGGCAAGCTTTCAAGCATACTTGGTAATATTGTTGATTTAAACACTCTTTCTGATAATTCCATACAATATTTAGTTCTTCGCGGTAGTTTCCTTTGTTCGTATGACACCAACTGCAAAATAATGTTAGCCGTACAAAATTATATATTAGAAACAAAAAGATTCTAACTGTATGTGTTTTCTGGGATGGGAGGATTGTTACTCACGCGAGGTCTCATGTATTTTTAAATGTCTTGTAAAATATTTTTCTTTCATTGTAAAAGTGGCTGCGAGAATATAAGTTGTACCTAACTTGAGTTCGCAGTCACTTAGTCCATGTATTTTCATTTGTAATTCTCATCGAGCTTCTGAATAAATAAAAAAAAAAAAAATAACTGTCAGTGAACGATATGTCATCTACGTACAACACAGCTCTGTTGACTGGTTCTCATCTTCGATATAATATTGTTTACGCCCAAAATCTGTAGTTTCGAGCCCATATTGTAACCTTAACTAGACAATTGTGATACTAAGTACTTTGCTGGTCAGTAAAGAATTGAGCCATGTCCGCACCAGCTGCCGTAATATCGAAGCAGTTAGGTCACGCGATATTTCTTCATCCATGCCACATTGGCTTTTTACGACATATGATGATGTTAAAGCTAAGATGTGTCCTTGATTATATCATATTGTACATTCAAAGTCACTGCAATCTCGTACTTCTGACTAATACAATGAAATCTAATAAGTTTTCATTTGTTGTATTGCAGTTACGTTCGTTTGTTAAACTGTAGTATGACAAACAGCTTGCTACGCTTGCCATGAAAATCATTTGTTCATTGAATCTTTAATATTAACTTTTTGGAAAATGATAACCAAGCAGGTCATGCTATCTCAAAACCGTGTCCCAATTTTCATATACGTTTCGATTTATAGATTTTTGAAACGGAATTCCAGACTTTGGGACACTAATTACAACGATCCACTATATGATTGTGCGTAGTTTTTTTATACAACATACCATGTGGTTTACACGATAACGTTCTTGACTTGAGGCGTGTGGCATGATGTCATGGGGCCACAGCAATTTAATCTGTTGGTTCTCGGATTTTTTTCAGAAAAAAATATGTAGCGTCAGGGCGAAAAAATAAAAAATAAAACAGGTCTAGGCATCCTATTTTAGTCCCAAATGCTACAATAGGAGCCATGAAGTCAACTCAAAAGGCTGGGTTAATATTTAAACAATGAATTTTGAACTTTTAATGAAACCACTGCATTGATAGATGGTAAAAACTGTCACAACTAGGAAGAAAAGGACTTTCCTCAACTATTGGGGGCAAACTATGGGCATTTTTTAGTTGATCCAAATTCTTTTGGGGGGGGGGAGTAATCAGACAAAAATAAAGAGGCGAATCCGATAACCAACAAATTAAATTGATGTGGCCTGAGTATAGTATTGGCAGAACCCGTAGAGTGTTGTGTACATTACGCGTACACTGAGAGATGGTCAAGTCTTATCATATCTTTGCGCCAGTCTTCAGTACGGCAGATGGCAGTACCACTGTGTCTGTCTGATGTTCCAATGTGATAAGGTCAGTAATGACTGTAAGACTGATGTAATAACCTGTTCTGTTACTTTAAAGTTCCCATAAAAATTTCCTTTAGTTCCAAGAAAGCTAGTGAAACACACACATACACTCACGAACTCGTAAATTTAGTTTAGTTTTTTATTGCCCCCGTATATTATCTACAGTAGACCCCTTTATTGCCTAAGAAAGACATTTTACCACTAGCATGAAATATTTAATGTCCATGGGCCATTGCCACTAATAACATTTCTGTGTCCACTACCAATGGGTCAAGTCTAATGTAGTTTGAACATCAGAAATTGAAAGTACATGTATGATAAAACAGATATAATTTTCTTTTTGTAATTTTCTAATGTTAGGTGTTTATATGAGAGTTTATAACAGGTTTATGTGAATATAATCATAAACAGGTTGTCACGTCACGTGTACTTAACCATCGACAGGCCGTTCGTCCTTGTCTATTTACGGCTGGATGGAGGCATTTCCGCCGCCCAATTATGTCATTATTCACGTATAAAGGGGGCGTGAAGTCATGTTTTGTCCCAATGCAAACTCTCGCGATAGGATAACAAGACACCTCTCCCCAGGGTAAGCGATGTGTGTACAGTTAATGAGATAAGCATTTCCTATGGGATGGCGGACTTAATCCTCAGAACGTATGGTAAGCTAGTCTGGGCTTTAGTTGTTAGAATAGGAATGGTACGCCGCGTTTGGGTGGTTTACGTTTTGAAATCTTGGACTAACTCAATCTGCCGAGTCGTTCGACCTCGGCAGTGCCCTACACGGCCGCACCGAGGAGGCGTATTGGTCCGTCTCTCCGCCGATTGAGGGCAAAGTTTCGGGTCTCCGCGCATGGGCCTTACGAGCCGGCAAGCCAGCCGGAAAGCGTAATTGGTGCGAGCGTTTAATCAGTGAATGGGTATCATTGGGTCGACCTTTACCTGTCAGTTGTTCCACTAGGGGGCGGCAAAAATGGCGACGGTCGGAAGAACTCATTTCCTCCTCGGCTTGCTGTGGCTCTGGAGCGCCGCTGTCTTGGCACAGGACACCGGTGCACAGGTAGAAAATATTTTCCTGGATTTTGTGAGCTTACACGAAGCCATATTTCAGCTTTGTGAAACTGCATGTTTTGACGTATAGACAGCTTGTCGCCTGATAAGCTTGTAGACGTGGTGGCATATGTCTTTGATTGTGTACAGCTTTCTAGCTTTACATGTTCGTTGCCATGAGCTTCAATATACCATGCGGTACATATGTGAAGTCATTGTAAAGGGTAGTATGATATCTAATGGGTTGTTTTTAAACATTTTAATTTTTTCAATGGCTCTTTCTATCAGTGTCTACAGTTCAAGCAAAATATTTGCCCCACTGTATTGGAAAAGTCTGAAATGCCTAAGAGCTCTTTTCATCAAAGTGAAATTAGTGAGTTGATAGTTCGAGTGGTAGTTTTCTAAAAATTTCGTAGGCAACGTAAACGTAAAATTAAGTTGCATAATTCTTTTCTTCACCTTGGAATATTCATAGGAAGTCATGAAATCGATGTGTATTAGATAGAAGGCAGGTTGAAGACAACGAATATTAGATTTCAAATTACCTTAAGTAAAACCTGTATGCGAAAATTAGATTAGTATATATTATATTATTGAAAACCGCGAAACACAGCCGCGAGATGTCTATATGTTTTTCAAAAAAGTTTTTTTTAAAAGCTATTGCAGTGTGAAAACATGAACATCCATGTTTACATTAAGAGACTAAGACAGTCTAATTCCGAAACAATGCCGGTGCTTAAATATTGGCGCCACCATATGCGACAGGTGTATGCGTGGCGGCGAAGTCGTGTCAAAATTAACTCTCCATAACATACATTTTCATCTACCTCTTTCATCAATTTCGAAGGCTCCGTTACTTTCAATCAAGACGTACCAAGAAATTATTTAAACGCTCGTTTATATATTCTCCTAAATAGTCCAGAACCATGAATTCACACTAAAACCCTTGTCCTGCGGAGCCCAAATATTTATGGATTGAACATACAGTACCATCTATATAACGCCCTATATGTACAAAATGTACGATTTGGGGGGTATTTCTCGTGAAACGCATCACATTGCAGCGAAGTGCAACGAATGCGAAAGTAACTACGCCACCGCAGCGCAAAAAGAGTCTGGGGTCTGTGACCTGATTAAGACATCAAATTATTTTAAAATATTGTGTAAAAATGCCAGCAGGACAAGGGTTAAGAAAATAACGACGTGGGGAGCTTTCCCGTAACTTCTACTCGCTTCCTGGAACGCGGTTGACTTGGACGGGAATGGAAATTGAAATCGATACTTTGTTACGGGAAGTCGTGTTAATTTTCTGCTGTGGGTCCCGCGGGGACACCAAGTGTAAGTTCACTCTGGCGTGACGTAAGGTCAAGTTCCAGGACAATAGCGAGATTGACTCTGTAATCTACACCATCACTCCTCAGGGTTCTGTGGCCAATCAAGTATAGACTCTTCTAAACACATTAAAAACATAATTTAGTCGGTAGAGTGTCTGATTAAAGTACAATTATATTTCTGTTGCTAAACTTCAATATTAGCGCGGAGCTTGGAATCAAGTTTTAGTACCTAATTAATTGATAGAAATATTTGGCGTTTCACTTTGCAATAGTTTGGACAGTTACATTTGAGGCTATGCCAAAAAGTGTTATATCCTAGTAATCATTGCCCTTCTATAATTCGTAAACTACATTATGTGTATAAAATTATCAGATTAAAAAAAAGACATATATGCATTCTTCTGAATATCTTAAGAATCTATGGTACGTCTCCCAACACACGTGCAGGATAAAAATATATATACAGTATATACTTGATACTTTTTATGCAGACCATAGCGAATCCTGGCATATCCTGGCAAATCTTTTAGTCCCAACAATTTGTGAATTTGATATGTATAATTCACGTTGACTTGTCAAATCCCCAGCGCTTGGGATATACGTCCGTCTCTATATAAGCACTCCTTCTAAGGCCAATTCTAGGAATTTAATCTCAAAGCAATCTAGGAGCCATGGGAGCTGAACTGACATGTAATCAACTCCGGTGGTGGAAGTGTTGCTGTGAGATATCTCTCTTCTCTGGCTCACGTGCACAACTACTGGTCATTGGGACAGTTATATTGCTTTAGAGCTGTTGGGAAGGGGGAGGGGGGCTAGTACTGTTACAGTAATACTGTATACATCCGTCAAATGGCTGCTCTAGTTTTATATACTGTTGTACTAAATCAAAGCTTGATGGGTTTGCCTCATTTTTTATAACCCATGAAAGTCGAAAAAACAATTTCTGTGATGCATGTGTTCTGTGATTGTAGGAGTAGTGTATTTACTGTAAACTACGTCGTGTAGCTGACGTTGTATCATAGTTTGTGCTACGAACGCGAAACCATATTCCTCTAACAGATATATAGAGAACAGAAATAAAAAAATAACTTTTCTTTCTCTTGATGCCATGTTTACAAACAGCTTTCAGAATTTCTGATGAATGACTCTTGAAATTACGCAGAACATAATCTTGATTCTTTAAGTTCATCTGATTCTGATGTTAAGGTTATAAATTTATTGCTTTGACACCGAGTCTGTCAACTAAATCTAAGGGGGACCCTGTTTGTCATAACGCCAGTAGCAGGTCGAATTGATGAGAATCAGTCCTCGGTAGACAGGTAAAAGATTGATGTACCGTACGGCGGAAATCATCCCTGTCCTCTGGAATCATACATCACCGGGAAATGTTGATTAACGAACCGAGAACTGAGTGTAATCTGCCCGTTCCACTTTGACATTTTGAAATGATGTATGGCTTTTCTGTCATCGAATATATGTGACCAGTACCTCTTAGGTATGAGAGAGTAATTAGCTTTGTGTCTTTGGCCCAACAATCTAGATTCCGGATTTTTTAATTTTCTTACAGATTCTGTTGCAAACTTAAGATTCAATGTTTTACACAGTTTAAAGAAATAGAGTAACTTTAAGAGCTAGTATCATTACTAGATGATTTAATAAGATTCCTGACATTCCTTGCTGTACATGTTGTTCAGTTGAACAAGACTACACTTCCCCCAAGTGTAAATGAGTACCTAACGTTGTTTAGGTAAAAAGGTGCACACGGGGAAGGGGATGGGTGTACTTCGTCTTCTATACTATGTCCCAAGGCAGTGCCTCATCTCACAAAAAGGCCACGGGACCTTTACCTACCATTGCCGCAGAGCTACTGATCTATCAAGACAGAGAGAGAAAGACTCTACTGAATTGATTATACCGTATGTGCGCTGATAGTTCCAACTGCCGCAAGTACAGTCATGGTCACTACATTATACGGCCCAGGTCTTAATGAGAATCAATAGATAATCGTGCAGTAGAAACGTTGCTGTAGAGCCCATTAGGACGGATCTTCTTTATGTATGTAGTAACATTGATTAGTTAATCCACCTTCTTGGTCAAAGACTGATTGGATAAACTCAGGATAAACTCATCTTCCGGTGGATTGATGACTAAGCCTGTAAATTTGGGGGTTATGATGAGGATATGAAATTGAAATCCCAAAACTGAAAACCGATCCAACAAATATAAACAGTTTTAGGTACAAAGTAAAGTGATTGATACATATTGATGTTATGTGTTGAAATCATATGTCTCGAGAGAGAAATAAAACATTTCATCATTGTAATATATGAGACCAAGAGGCACCTGCCACACATTTGGGACATATTAATACTCCTTATTAACATTGGTCATTGTTCTCTAATGGTAAGTTTAGAAATGGATACAATGTAGCTTCTCTATCCATCAAATTATGTCCTGGATATGATATATTGACTATTTTTCACAGACGTGAACACTATTGAAACATGCCTTTTAGCTTTTGTAAAGCATCTACCCGTACTTAATGATGACACAACTTATCCAACGATACAACTTTTTAATGCCAATGATTATTGTCGAGAATCTCTGTATTTTTTGCTATTTGGATTTTTGTTTTTTCTTCTTTCCTCCATCTCTAATAGCGCAAAGTGAAAGCAAAGTGGCCATACTACCCGGGGTTCGTGAACGACCCAGCGAACCCAGTTAACTCTGAGGACGAGGAGGAGGTATAAGTATGGGGCAGGGCGGGGCAAGCATAATCACCATAGCCTGGGTGCACGGAAGTCACTGTTGGCAAATGTAGACCGAAATTAGCATGAAATGTTTGGTAGTTAACATAGTACAGTGCTGAAGATTGTTCCAACACAAAAAGTTAGCGGATATCCTACTGTCTTCTTCAGTATCAAGTGACCAGCCATCTAGGTCACGTGACTTTACAGACATAAACATCAGCGATTGGTCAAAACTCCTGGGAGCCAACGTCACGTGATCTAGGTGATGATTTGTAACTTGAGTTCTGAGGACTGCATTAGGACAGTACTATTCGAACATTCAATGGGAAATTTATTTGTGTTGGGAGAAAAGTTTTGTACTGTGTCGAACAAAGCTGCAATGTTTGAAGTTGCAAAGTGTTCAACAAATATTCAAATATCCAAACGTTTGATTTCAAACTAAACTGAGATCATCACCCTGACGTTACATTGACATTGGCCAACAGGAACTTCCTTCCCAACCAAGCCATTGTTTTGCTGCAACAGCTGGGAATATTAAAATTTTCGTTAGATATATATACACAGTTTTTTTGCAAACCATATCACATTGCCCCGTGAAGAATCTGCACTGCTTTGTCCTCGACTGAAAGCTATAGATCCAGACATAGTTTAGCTGTTCCATGCATAAGGGTGAGACAAATAGTTAACCACGCAAACTTGTGTTTTGATTATATCAGCAGAAACAGGCCTGGCCTTCATATTACGCAGACGAACCTGATGATGACAAGGTAGTGGTTTACCAAGACGAACGACCAAATTTTCCTCAGCTTTCTCTTTTTAACCATTAATACTAACAACTACTATATTGGCACACAGTACTAGTCCAATTAACTGCAATATACATCAATTCTACGTTTGTTTTTAGTATATTTGACTAACGATCGGGCCCCTACATGTTTCACTAACCAGGTATAACCAAATTTCATTGTGAACAATCAGACAAATAAGTATACAGACTGACATATGTTTCAATCCCTAAGCAATGCATGTAATGAGCGCATGTTTATGTGTCTGTGAATATGAATATCTATGTCCTTTTTGCTCTGCACTTTAGCACTGCATGATATTTTCTAGTTGTCTCCAGTCATGGGCATTTTTGTGAAGCGCATTGCATGCTGGGAGACGCTTGGCATTATGGGTAGCTGGGGGAGGGGCAATAGAATCATTACAATAAAAACAGAGAGGTCTGGGCGCGTTGTCATGGTAATGATACTGCTTGCCTCTCGGCTACCCATAGTTCCCGCGTCTCCCAGCATGCAATAGCATCCCTCAAACGGTCTAACAAGCAGCTACCACTGACCGCTAACGGCTAGTAAATGTTGTGTGCGTTCGTCACTTTCTTTAGATACTCAATTTTTAAAAAGCATTTTATGCACCCCAACGACTAAAACAAACCTATTGTTACAATACACGATTCTAATGGCGATTCGTACCTTTTTTTCATCAGAAATTTCCTTATTTTTTTGGATGGACACTTGGACGTAAAACTAGCATGGTAGTTGACGCTTTCTAAGATTACTATATGGTTTTTAGCATCTCTCATCATATGTAACATTTGCATATACAATACGATATCAGGTTGTTGCCTGTTTTTGCTGTAAGGGTAACCCTGTTAATCTGTTTTATATGTTAACGTTAGTTTTGGTTAATATATTTGCAATATTGCATGTGCAATCAGCTGGTCAAAATCCAGATACATTTTTATGTGCATATGTAAAGTGTTTACATGATTCCAATCTAACGTCTGGGCAACATTATCATAATATTAGTGTAATAAGTATTTAAGTAGATACTAACGTCATTTTGTAACATATAAAATGTCTTCCAACTACCAGAAAGCTTGTCCGGCAAACGGCTGCTGTGTGCAGGGTCCGCCGGGCATGCCCGGGACCAACGGCGTTCCCGGAAGCAATGGCATTCCCGGAACGCCCGGGATCGGCGGGAAGGACGGGGACAAGGGAGACCGGGGACTCCCGGGCAGACCCGGCAGGCCAGGCACGAAGGGAGACAAGGGAGACTCGGGCAGCGGGGCGATGCTGCTGGGCAGCAACATCAAACAGTGCGCCTGGCGGAACCTCAACTTTGATGAGGACCACGGAAAGATCAAGGTAGCTTTAAACTGCGCCAAACAGCTTAATATAAAACTTTCAATTCTATAGTAGTTTCTGATGTTATCAAATACTCATCTAGGTTGAAATAGGATCATTTAGTCGCATATCAACAGTTCTAGAAAGTCGTTGAAATCCGGTATTGTTCAGGTTTTGTCGACAACCGAGGCTAAAGATCCAGTAGCTTTTGCCATGAATGATATAGTTTGTGCAGTTGATGCATAGTATATATGCCAATCAACATTTGATTGATGTATACTATGCTAGTCAACTGAAATATGTAAAATTTTGTGTTAATTAGTTTCCACATCTTACTGCATGTTGCCCATAGTTGGCATGGCTAAGACAGAGGAAGGGTTCCCGTACGTCCCTCCTCTGTCATTGGCCCATTTGGCTGGTGTCCTCAGGTCTGTGATTTCACCAAACGGCGGAAATCGTCCGAACTTCGGGTCTTGTGGGACGGGCCCTTAAGGGTGACGTCACATTCCGGAGCATGTAAACGTTGGTATTTCACCTTCAACGGGGCAGAATGTGGCGACCCCGCGCCCATAGATGGGATTGTATACGTTAAGCCCAGTGAAGAGCTGGTGGCCCTCAACATCCACAGAGTGACTCGCAGTAAGTTGGCTGCACACGCCGCCCGACTCTCCGCCCCCGCCCCGCCGCCTCCCAGCCAGCTTCTCTGACTTTCTACCTGCGCTCTTATATATCTTAACCCCCTCTAGGAATGCCCGTTTTCCAAACGGTTCACCAACTCCTCTCTACGTGTCGTGTGGAACGGAGCCCTCCGGGTGACGTCGACCAGCGGCTGCTGCAAGCGGTGGTACTTCACCTTCAACGGGATGGAGTGTTCGGGCCCGCTGCCGATCGAGGGACTGGTCTACACCAATGCAAACAACGGGATGTACGGGTTGAACATTCACCGGGTTTCCTCCAGTGAGTCCTCCCCCCTCCCTAGCTCCCTGCTCCCTCAGGCCACTCCTTTGCTCCCTTGGCTTGTCTGAAACTTATTACTCTTCATAGATCACCAATGAACTCATTGTAACATCAACTAAACAACGTTAGCTTTCATTATGGTGCAATCAGCATAGAAGACATAAAATCCTTCGCATAGCATCAGACTCTAAGATTTAAAACAAAAGGCTAGATAACTATAGATTAGACTCTATTAATGTTAAATACCTGGACGATGCATGCATAGAACATCATTTGACTACACCATAGTATTATCCTTTTACAAGTTTGTACTATTGAACGTATATTGCTAACCTAACTTATTTTGTCCCAGTTGAGGGCATCTGCAGCGGTCTCCCTAAGGGTAAAATCAACGTGGAGTTCTCCGTGCGTAACTGTAAGGGCATCTCCAACAGCGGGAACGCCTACACCGGCTGGAACTCCGTGTCCAGGATCATCGTCGAAGAGATCATGCTTCCTGACGATGCGACAAATCAGTGAAGGGTTCTGCAGGCACAGCTAGAGCAAACTTAGCGTCACTGCAAGAAATCATATCTTTAAGAACACCCTTACTCATGATTTAAGGGTTACTTTAAAAATGGATTTCGTGTAGTACTTGACACTTCATCTGTGTTCATAGAATTCATTCTTGAGCAGAATTTTAGCTGTGATTTCCAACACAAGAGCTCCCAAGTAGAGACAAGGGAAGACATTTGCACACATTAGACCCATTGCTCACCGAGCCACGCATCTTATCTGCAGTAAGTGGTGTCATAGAAGTGGTGCATTGTTTGTACTGTAACTGCATTGCACTAAAACAAGGCACATCCAATTGTCTGAAGTGTTGAACATCACAGTTAAATCCTACCTAAGCTATAACACCATGATGCTCGTGTGTGACTCAACAAGCAAATGTTGTGTTCAAGAGCTCAATTCTGATTCAAGAGCTCATCTTAATTCAAGGTAACACTCGCCTGTGTATTTGTAAAAAAACAAGTCTTGAAAGTAAGACAAGACCTGATTGCTTTTTAAAGGTTTGGGGACATTGAGCTTTGAAAGGGACATTAGAAGCCTTTTTACTGTTTTACGTCTGTCAAATGATATATATGATATTAGCACTGCATTGTAAGAAGAGCACCTAAGCTCTATTACGTTTGTAATAGATCAATTTTTCTGCCGTGTTATCTGCTTAAAGAAGGAAGCAATGTTACTTGCACATATAATCGATATCGTCTCTGCTATGAGCAATAGATAAAGAAGCTATCTGATCTCGGTTATATCAATTTTGTACTTGTGACGTAAAGAATTATATACTATAAGATATGAAAACATCGCAAGTGCAGCAACGACTATGGCTGTAAAGATGTCATACAAGCTAGTGTTCAAGTCATAATTAGAGAAACATATCTGCCATCAGTTTAAGTATACTCTGCATACTCAAGCTAAGGATACTTATCCACTGATGAGGGCTTTCTCCAGCAAAATTAGATGCTTTGGAGATTACGATTGAAGACAAACAAGAAAGCACTATTCCCTACATCTGCATGATATATTATCAATAAGCATATTAGATAATTGAAAGCAGTTTGTGCAATAGCTAGCCGGTGATGCTATATGACAAGTTGTAAAAATCACAGGTGCAATAAAGGTTGTTGGTGTGTATGATGTGTAAAATGAAGCCATGCTGTTATTCTTTACTGTCTTACTGAAACACACACAAATCTTACAGAGACCTCAAGAAACCACTGTGAATAGTTTTAAAAATAGATACTTTGTTTATGCAATCAACAAGAAAACGAGAAACGTGTTTAAGACCATGTAGGCAGAAGTTGAAAATGTTCGTTGAAGAGGTTCATCAGTCATGTAAGATTATAGTAGAACATTATTCAATCAGTGACTGTTTTTATAAGGTAAAACACGTACCTCCAAATTTTCTTACCATCAAATTGCTGTAACATCTGTGTCCATAATACCACCAGGGTCCATGATATCGCCACCTTGAGAAATAGTGTGCTTAAAGATATTTTTACTGCAACATACCAGGTATGTACTTTTGATGTGTGAAGGAGTGCATACCAAAAGTATGTTGCAGTAAAAATATCTTTAAGCACACTATTTCTCAATGTGGCGATATTATGGACCCTGGTGATATTATGGACACAGATGTTACATCTTGATCCGCAAAAGTCTCGACCCAAATCGAAAATTTGGAGGTACGTGTTTTTACCTTTCAAAAACTGTCACCGATTGAAGAATATTCTACAAACTTGAAAATGTTCATTTTTGGGCCTCGGGAGTAATGACATGTTCTGCCTCCAGACAATCTTATAAATATAAACGGATGTGGCTGCACCACTTTTATTATAACATATACGGCCGTTATGATTTGACCATGAGCAGGATTCATGTTGATGGGATGACCTCCGTGTCATGAGGTAAACACGTAAACTGCCATTCTAATCACGGTCCGAGGCCGCCTGTCACAATTACCATTTCATAACGACCACGACTGACCAGGTTGCCAGGCCCTTTAGCTACTGTATCCGAACAGGACAGAACACAATCTAGTTATGGGAAAAGATATTTCTTTTGTAGAAAGATTAAAAATTAAACGGATCCACAACTGCTGGGTCAAAGCACTCGGTCACCAGTACTAGTGGTGCTTTGAACGTTATATATGACTTCAAAAGATGTGCATGGCCTAGTTCTTTTATTGTTTTGACCTATTGTTATTGTTTTGACCTATTGTTATTGTTTTGATATTCTGCTACATATCTAACAGCAAGTTCTTTGCTTAACACCTTTTGACCTCACCGTTTCATAACTCATATTGTGGACGTTAGTTAAAAACCGTATAGTCAGTTCCCATTGGCTGTACAGTGTACTACATTTTGCAGTCAATGTCTCCAATGCGTTAGAAGCTGCCACATTGTGTGAAGTCAATAAAAGCTTATAAAACATTTAAAGAATGTTCTTCCATGCAATAAAATGCTAGAATTATGTGCCTGAGTCGTCTTCCTATTCAAAATTATATAGTACCGATTTGTCTTGTGACTTGACCGGATTTCCTAATGCGGCAGAGAAGTTCACTGATACTCTTAGAGGAAGTTTCCGACTGATTATGGCCCAATTATTGTTTATTGTTCATTTTGCACTCACTCACCCTCACTCTCACTCTCTCCCAATTCAAAGCTTGGTACATTTACATATATGGAATATTCAACGACTTGTAAAAAATACGAATATCATAACTAGTGCATGAAGGGACGTATTGTACCTTCTGAATAATGCAACGTGACACAATGTCAATAAATATAGATTGAACCATATAGCATTAGAAATTGAATAAGGACTTAAGTAAACTAATAAGCTAGCATAACCATCTGTACGGATCAGAGTTGATATATGAACTACTCTAATGATGTTTCTTGGGAAAGGGGATATTGGCAGTAGTAAACCATTTCTTCAGCCTTTCTTTTCGATCGAGAAAAACAGCATTCTTTTGAGTGAAAAGTGCATAAACAGCACGGAACCTTTTTTTAGATTTGAGTATAATGTAATCTATGTAGATAAAAGTATTAGCGCATAAGTCTTTCAGTCCCGTAACATCAACCTAAATGAAATCAGATATAGGAAAAAACTTTCATTTCCGTTGCAGATTCAAAAGCTGCATGCGAAGCGGTACGTGAACATTTCTGGTAAAACTTCACAGTAGAGTCACGGGAAAAGTTTTCCAAGCTATTCTTTACTATTGATGAATCTGTCCATGTATCATAATGCATCTGAACTTTGGTAATGCACTTTGCAAATTACTGTTGGCGTGGTATCAAGAGCAGAGAGGCCCGGGCTAAGTGAGCTGTAGATCACTGGCTGATGCAGACTTTACCTGACATCCGATGGAGCAGGTCGAACTCCCGTGCCCCTGACTGGCGGCAACGAGGGCGGGCCGCCCCGGTTTAATCAAGGAAAGAATGGGTAATTGGGTTAGCATCTGTCAAATGAGGTAACTGATTACGTCCAATTTGCGACGGTCATAAATGATTACGTATTCCATTATTTGCCTCCGCTTCCTCTGTTAATGAAATCCCACCATCTTTTAAGATGTAGTTAGGAAAGGAAACTTGGAGATCTGTCTGAATTAAGCGTATTCTTCGTATGCGACTCAAGTTAAAACTTGATTCTGTCTCGAAAAGTTTCCGTTTCCACGCATAACTCTTAAAGTCATTAAGTACATTAAAGCTTCTAAGAATATACGGGGATCATTATTTCTGAAGTAATCCATTTTACCGATGAATTGCTGTTAGAATTAATCAAACTCTCCTCCGGTAATGCCGCCAGGAGACAGTTTACGATCGATCCGCAGGCTTTCCAATATATTCCCAGAAATTGAAATATCTCATTTAGAAAACTGACCCTAATGCGACTACGATAATAGATGTGTCCCCAGAAATGGAGATCATTAGATAAAAGGGTCTCTTTGGAAAATGAGACTGGATCTGGTGAGCTTGGCAAGGGAACTCGCCGTCGCAAAGAGATCTCCCCGCGGAGTTGTATTGAAAATGAAAGGGCTGAGTGATTAGTTTAGCCCTGAATGGCCCACCATTTGTCATATTGCTAATGACATTACCGCTGGTTCTGCCGTCCCGTTGTTTCTGTGGGTGCGACCAATGTGCAGTGGCGTTCCGAGGCTAATTCTACTTGACTACTGGGGCGGACAGATGTGAATTGTAGGAGCGTCAGCCAAGAAAAAAAAGCAACGGTGGACAACATAGACGGTCAAGGAGGGCAGGGTCTTTGACTGGTAGAAAATGGCGAACTGGACTCCAGTCTTGTCGGTGTGTGTCCTGTTTTTCCTGGGAGCCAGAGTTTGGAGCGCGCCGCCAGACGATCCCGATGACTCGGAGAACGAGGTACAATGCAAGCAGGTAGCTTTAACACTTTTGCAGCACGCAATACCCTTCTGTGGTGTGCTTTTTCTAGCTTTAACATATTTGTTGCTTTTTTGTATTTATGGAAAGGTCTTAACCGATGCTTTGCGATCTGGCAAAAATTGCCGTCACGTGGTTTAGAAGGCACGCTCACTATTTCGAGTAATTTTGCTTACAGGTCAAGGATCAAATGACTAGTCTTTCTCCAGCTTTAGTTATATGCCTGAAGAAGTAACATATCATGTTTTCAAGGCTAAACTAACTAGAAACTCGGTGTTGTTGGTGCGTGAAATGGTCCTGATTTTCCTGCGTTTCTTACTTCGTTGTTTGTGATGCATTTAATACTGTATTACTGGCTTTTTGGAGCATGTAGCTCTCCTAGCGGGACTATGCGCTCCGGGATGCTTAAGAAGACTTCATTTTCTTCACAGCACACAGAGGAAATATCTTCCTCGTCCCTCTGGTGCTATCGTTCTTACGACTTCTTTTTCATTATCAGAAACTCAGTCAGCCTCCGTGTTACAATCATCGTAGGCGTAGTTCCTCGCCAGAGCTGCGTCGTTTCGGCCCTTTATCATTCCTTTTCTGATTAAGGTCATTGCCATTCAGATGGACATTGTCAGTCACTGAATGGGAAGTACCTGTGATGTACTTACATTTCCTGAATGAGGATTACGAAATGTAATAAGATTTTATAGATGCGTGTATATGTTTCGTATGTTGATAAAAGTGTATGTTTTACACTAGAACTGTGAGTACCATGTCAGTTTTTTTTCATATATCAATTGAGCGGAAACAATACTAATTCTTCCTAAATATCCATGAGTCCTTTATCATCCTGTTAAAAAGTAGGATAACAATAGACCAATCCCCTTTTAATGAATAACGTTTCAATGACTAGTCACAATGCATGCATTGAATGATTTTAGATACAATACCTTCTAAGCTATGAAAACGCCATTCACTAAATGGCGATTGGAATCAAAATATATGTCCTGACATCATGATCCTGCCAACATGAATAAACCCGCTATCGGCGTTCTAGCGTTTCCTTTGCGTCGTTTTAATTGTTCAGTTGAATTATCGTGGAGTTTTTCTCTAAAAAACATATCAAATGCGTTCCTGAGTTCTCAACGTCATTCTTGAGTTTGACTTTGTGCCCCTAACATGATTGAAATAGAATATTTATTTAAAAAATTTCTTTTAAAAACTGGTATAGGTATTCACTATTTGCTCTAATTTTGATGGACAGGAGCATGAAATAAGTAATATCAGAAATGAAATTAAAGTTGCTGACTCGTATGTCATGGCAGACATGTCCCGGATGTTGCCCGATGGGTGCGCCAGGCATGCCGGGAAGGAACGGTGTCCCAGGACAGAATGGCTATCCCGGCAGTAACGGCTTCGATGGGATAGGCGGGAAAGCGGGCACCAGGTAAGCAAAATGTCAACAGTTATCAATAAATGAAATTTCCCGTTTTAAAGCCCGTTACAGCAAGCTGTCAGTAACGACAAAATGTATTAAACTACAAGCATTGCGCCTCACCAAGGAGGTTGACTGAAGAGCAATTAAAATTTGAGGTGAGCTGTCTTTACTGTGTTGATCTAAAGTATCAAGCTTCAACAAGGTTTGAATCTTGGCTACACCGACTGCTACCTTCCTCAGGTAAGGACAGCCAGTTCGACTTCTCAGAACAAGGGGGCGCTGCAATGAGAAGACTGAGTCGCAAACGTGTGTATACCCCCCTCTTCAATGTTCATGACAGGAGTAGATTTTCTGTCAAAGATACATGCAGCGTCCTTGTTCCGGAGTGTGCATTCTTCTAACTTCAGTCTCGCATGGTGGTAACCAGAAGTAGATCATTGCTCTGCTGGTGAAGATAACAGACGGTCTACCAAAACATTTCCAGGTACAAAATAATGTAAATTCCGTTAGGTTGTGTAACAAAAAAAAAAGGTCAGTATCCATTTAATTACTGACCCACCTGATGAAACTATTCCCGTTCGCCCATGCCAGGGGTGTACGTGGTGTGGACGGTATCCGGGGACAGAAGGGAGAACCGGGCGACTCGGCTCCGGACCTGGTGGCCAGTCAGAACATCAAACACTGCGTCTGGGACAGGATCAAGGACGACAGGGACAAAGGCACTATCAAGGTACAAAAACGTTCTTTTCTTAGCCTGGTTGTCACTAGCATTGGCGATAATGGCCTTACTAACAAAGCAACAAGCAATTGTCCTTTTTTTATGAACCAACAGTCACACATGTGGATCTTCATACGCATTGCAGAAAAGTCCGGATCTAAAACTCGTTATATCAAAAGGACGTGATATCAATCAATGAGTCATAGTAATACTTTCAAGTGCCCACAGTGATGAAAATGACTCTATAACGTTTTTTCGTCCTAGTTGTTCTTCGTGTATGACAAAAGTAAGGTTTGTGCATGGTAATGGAATGGACAAAATTTCCAAAAACATTGAATCCTAAGAGTCTAGCGGCCGTCGTAATCCCTATAAAACATTACAACTCCATGTCGCATGGCGGCGCTGTGGCTTCTTAGTCCCCACGCCTCCAATCATGCATGACTGGTGTAGAATTGTAGATTTGATTTGATTTATTAGGCTGAATTGTAAATGTGAAGCGTTATGGTGTGAAGCGTTTAAGCATTTATGGTGTGAATCGTCTCCGACTTCTCCCCAGATCTGCCGCTTCCACAAGCGGCAGATGAACACCACGATGCACGTGACGTGGAACGGTTCTCTGCGCGTCCTGTCCACTAAGGAGTGCTGTAAGCGCTGGTACTTCACCTTTAACGGCAGGGAGTGTCTCACCCCGGTCCCCATAGACGGTCTCACCTTCACGAACGGCGCTGAGAGCGTCAACATACACAGAGTTACCACAAGTAGGTTTATTTTATAAAGGGATTCTTTATTGACGCAATTAAAAGTACAGGGGCTTTCGTATGGTCTTCTACAACTAAAGATCTAACAAAATTAAATACATGTATGGACAACGTCATCCTACGCACAGAATCTATGTATGCCGCAAGTTACGTACAGAATATATGTCAGCGGAATACAACTTCATCTTTTGGCGTACTAGTATGTTTCATCTCCCATGGCCATTGCTAGATTTTCATTTCTTAATAACTTAATATGTTCTTACAAGTATGAGATGGAAGAGGTATCTCACGTGATTATTATATTTGTGTGTATATGCGTGCGTGCGTGTATGTGTGTGTGTGTGCGCGCGCGCACGTGTGTGTGTGTGTGTGTGTGTGTGTGTGTATGTGCGCGCTCGCGTGCGTGTGTGTACGTGAGTGTGTGCGTGCGTGTGTGTGTGTCCGTGTGCGCGTCACAGTAGTAAGTGACTGTGTTTTTGAGTGCGTACGTGCAAGCGTGTATTTATAGAAATGGCTTACGAAGTTACCACGTTCCCCGACAGTCGAAGGACTGTGCGAGAACATACCCCAGGGACCGGTGGACGTGGCCTTCAACGTGCAGGACTGCAGGGGCTACACTGGGGGAGACGCGTACACCGGATGGAACTCTGTCTCCAGAATTATCGCCGAGGAACTCCCAGTCACTGCAGAGGAGGGGACAGAGTAATAACGTTAACAGTACGGAACTGCTAACGGGCTATTCCATTGAAAGCATTCGAGGGGTGTTCTCTAATTGGGAGATATCTGCTATGGAAAGGCATGACTGAAGAGAATGAAATGATCCTTAGAAAGACGTGGAGGAGGCATGAAAATGATTAGGACCCTATAGCCACTAGGATAGCCCTTAGGATATATAACACGTACAATCTATGAATCTATGCTAAAAAATGAAATAACTGTTTTAGATAATATTGACGAATACATGTGTTTAAGTCAAAAATTCAATATGAAAGATAATATGCAAATCACTGTTAATCGTAAACTACGGCTATGTGAAAGAATTGCCACAAAGTACCTTGCTATCAGTGGATAAGACGTACATGCATATTAAGTATCCGCAAAGTAGTTCAGCTGATATTGTCTTTATCATTTATGACTTAGTACACCCAGTTTTGTAAAAGCAGCAATGAATTTGACCTATTTTCTGACTTCCTTGTCGGACTAAGCTACATCACAAATTTGAAGTTGATATCTTTTAGTGGCGACAATTTGAATAATGTAATGGAAACCCTCTTCATTCTGATGCTGGTTACTTGACAAACATAGAAATGCGTGGAAAATATGCTCAGAATAAATAACTCTTATTTTCCACCACTTTATCAATTAGGAGTTTAAGTAAGCATTGCACTACAATACATTAGATATGCATCAACAATTTTGCAACTTTTCATGTATATTTTGTAAAGGGTCATACACGAAGTACGCATTATGTATCAAGTATATCAACAGTATAGATTAACAATTATATCGATACCATAAAAATATAGACCTTATATAATTATAACAACTTACATCGCTCCCGAATGTCTTTCCTATCGGTAAAGACATTGTTAGATCAAATTAAGAAGTACGTAACATTTTATCCAATTTGATGTGCATCTACTGTAACTATCCATGTCCATATACATGTGTATACAGATCACTTTTGTACATGAAGAAAGCTTGCTGTACCTGATTTTTGTGAGTATTCAATTCATTATAATCGTCTAGTTAAAATACTGTCTAACTTTACGTTAGTCCTTCTAATCCTTCAGTCATATATGACGTCACCGTACGCGTCAAATGTGAAACTGTTTCATTTGGATGTTTTTCCGTCGCAGATATATCAAAGTGGGAACTTGCACTTATATAACTTCAATGATGCAGTTTTTATACAAACCACCAGGCGTCCTCCTTACCGCTACTACCATGCATAGATGGGCAGAATTCTCTAAAATTATATCCACATGTTCTGTATAAAATGAAATTAAATGTTTCTTGAAAAATTATGTTACTTTTTACAAGAAATTCTTGAATCGGAGAGAAAGCAAGAGATGGACTAACTGCAGTGTAACTTTGCACGTTGTTTCTTAAATGAAAGTCGTCGCAAGGCACAAGCAAGTGATTGCACTGTACTAGTCTGACGCTAGAGGGGGCGAGTGCGACATAGCAATTTTATAGCGGCCATCCAATAGTTACAGTACAGTACAGTACAGTACAGTACAGTACAGTATGGAATATTTCCTCCTCTTTCCTACAAATATTTGACCATGTTGTGCCCACAAAAGTGTCATTTCATAGCGGCTAACAACACGTGCTATGTTTAGTAAAATTTGAAATAATACTTCACGCATAAATTAATACACAGCTGTTCAAGATCCAATTTGCCGCCACATTAGAAATTTAAACGCAATCATTTTCTCAATCCCATCAAATAGTGACGACCTTCTTTTTATCTTGGACAATCTCTTATATATACTATTTTGACGCTATTGACTTGTAATCCATCGTATGTATACTTTGATCATTGAGTTCTTTTAACTCCATGCTTTGATATAGCATCAAAGTGCTGATAGAGAACCTTCATGAAAGGGTGCTCATGATTGATTCTGATCAGGACCATCTTTTAAAAGCTTTATGCGTCTTTGAAAATAGATTACAAACACCATTTATCTTTGTTAGTATCCGACGTATTTCGTCTTATAAACTGCTTATTTACGTTATATGTGTAAGAAAACATTTTTCTCTGTGTTCACTTGATGCAAAGTGTTTTATTTCTTGTTTTATTACCCTGACATCCATCCCTATAATCAAAGCTTCAGTTAAATTTTAGTCTCTCTCAGGCCCTGGTCCCTTTGTATGTTATTCGAACCCCCCTTGGACCTGCGTACATACTTTCATTTGCATTTCCCTCTCTACGACATGTTGTGACACTCCCATAAACTTTCCAACAATAGAAGATAAACAATTAGTATTTCGATACCATAAAAGATGGCACCGACTATAGATCTAGTATCCCACACGGTTTTTTAACATCCGGATACGGGGCTGACGCTTTGAGATCCTGTTGACACTCCTGGTTGAAATGAGACGCAGTTGCACCGTCAGAGAGGAAATGAGAATTCACGTCAACCGGATATAAAATTGGCAGATGTTTTAGATCTCTTGTAATAAACACGTAGTCATACATGTAGGTGTAACGTTACGTGTGTCATATAAGCTGGCCATATAAGTACATTCATCAGAATCAGAACTACACTAGCATATAGTTGAGTCCAAGGAGAAAATATGAAAGAAAAACTAGGTCGCAACAAATAAATACAGACACGGACGTCTTAGAATGAAGCAAAGACGTTGAATATAACTACTTTGAATTACTTCCTGGATTCTTTGCACGAAAAGAAATATGGTAAAATTTGAAGGTCAATTTTTGTCCCCTAAGAAGTTGAAACAGGTGGTTTCTTCCACGCTGTAGATTTCGTGACGTCACCACATAATTAAATATGGCGGATACGATCCAGGAAGTGGTGCAATTCTGACGCCAAATCAGTGTTTTTCTCCTCTATATCTGCCCACAAGACGACGAGCACCGCAGAAGACAGCTACAACAGTGAGAGAAGACGTTACGCGCAGCTGGTGGGTATTTTCAATCTTATCTGTGTGAAAGGTGATGTGTCTAGGGCCACGGTAGAGGAGCGGTCCCGGCCAGTGCCTTGGGCGGGCCAGGTTTGACAAGGCGATTTGGGGTGTAATTGCTTTTTCCTGACTGATCTATTATAGGCATACACAGGAGCGATTAGAACGCTTAAGTGGTCACGTCGTGGCTTTTCTACTGACTCAGCACAATTCATATCTGATGCCGGGGGTTGTGGAGCTTAAACTGAGTCAAAGGGAACGTATCGTGTAGGTTTCAATCACATTTGCTACATGTACGCATACCTCGGTTGTGAATGAAACGGAAAAGCACGGAAAGCCCAACATGACGGGAATATTTGGGGATATATTTAGTGTTTTTTGTAGTTCAAGTATGCAATTATGTTGTGCTTTAGAGAAATAAAAAAAAATAAGCAGAAAAAATTATTATGGTACAATTACACTCAAATTAGTACTGTGAAATATTGATCCTTTTAATGTCATCCAAAATAACACAACTTTCTACCATCCGAAATGGACCTTGCTTGTATAGAATGCTGCATTTCATATACTTTGGTACATACATGCATGCAACCTTTTCTTTATGTGATTAATATAAAGATTAAAAGTTTTTCTTTTTCCTATAAACAGCTGTTACTCAGTCTGTTGCAATATCCCAGATTTATCATTACATGCATGCATTGAGACTAGCATGCAGATGGATAAAATGAAAGGTTATATATTAAAAGGAAAGGATGGATTTCAACAAAGCATTCTCTAATATGGAGTACTGATGCAGAACAGTACAGACTCAACACAGCACAGCTTACGTCAATATTTTCTTTTCAAACAGCCGCATCGATTTTGTTATCATCATAACAACCTGGTTCGCTGTGGCAATTTTACACTGAACATTACAGCATGGAAAATGTGTGGTTTCCCGGTGAAAATTACAGTCTCTACTTCTCAGCCATAATAATTGCATTTTCCTCGGCTCAGTTTTATGTTCAAAGATAAATGCTATATAAATTTTCATAATGCTTTACTCTTATAGTCAGGCTGTTTTTAATCCCCTCAAATACACTGAAAATTACAGCATAGAAAATGTGCAGTTTCCAGCTGAAAATTACAGTCTCTACTTCTCAAAAATGCTCAGCCATAATAATTGCATTTTCTTCGGCTTAGTTTTATGTTCAAAGATCAATGTTATATATGCTTTACCGACTTGCTGTCGGGCTGTCTTTAATCCCCTATACACTGAAAATTACAGCATAGATGCCATAGAAAATGTGCAGTTTCCAGCTGAAAATTACAGAACTAGCATCTCACTCTCAGAAATGCTCAGCCGTAAAAATTGCATTTTCCTCAGCTCAGTTTTATGTTCAAAGACAAATGCTATATAATTCTTTGATAGGCCATCTTTAATCCCCTATAAAGAATTCATGTACTGAATATTCATCTATGTGACCTAATTCTGTAGGATTGCAAGAAAAGAACATTTTGTCAATGATGTATTGAATTTTAATGCCTGCAGACACCTCTATGTTATACTAGCTACGTACAACATCAATGTTTTATAATGTATAGATAATCTGCATTGAAGTTGCAAAATTCAAAACACCAGTTTTGTACATGTAAGTACAAGCTGTGTAAAACTGCACTGTTAGGTTAGAATTTTCTACTGGACCATGATTTGTAAGTTATCTTCCAAACTGACTGTTACAACCTTCTTGGGTTCTCCAAGGCATGATCAATCACTTGAACTGATTTTACATTCTAGCAAATGACCGCAACTGAAATATATCCAGGCTTAGATAGAGCTTCAGGTCTCCTGAAGAATTTCCCTGGGGTAAAATGACGAGTGAGCAATTTTCTACATGTCATATTTCTCTACCAACCTCTTTCTTGAGCTATAGCTATCTGTAGCTACATGCATTTCCTTGTTAAGGACACCTTTGCAGGCTGTTGCTGTATTATTGTTAGCTGTGACATAAGCATATTCTTTTAAAGTTTCTATCATCATCTAAGACATATAATTGCAATTTGGAAAGTAGACAAGTTATGAACAGGAAGGTAATATTCAATCTTTGAAGGAATTTGAAAGTATTATGCAACCAGATAATTCTCAGTCTTTTTTTTTCATCCATTGGCCAAAGATATGTACATATAGCTCTTGAGAGCCAAGAAATTCAATTTGTTCAAAATTCTATAAAGCTGAACATCAAATTTTGTATGGCTTACTGGTAAGTCCAATGACATGAGTTGCCAATGATGGGTTTTGAAATGGCTGACCTGAAATTTTATGGATTCATGTGACATTAAAAGTGGCCATCAGGGCTAATGAAGGCTCTATCACAGTATTACTTAAGGCTCGTATGTAATCAATACTTGCTGGAATTAAAGGATCCTTGCATGTCATCACGATCTTCTCCAAAATTTGTGTAATGCATTTTAAGTAGGATTGGAACAATAAGAACGTTAATGGTTATTTTTAGTGACTTGCATTAATTGAATCTACATTGAAATGTGACAGAAGCTTCGTGGACAAAAATCTTACGTATACATTTAGTTTTAATAAATAGAAACATAAGCATTACATGTAACACCTGTTTGATTATTGTCACTTAGCTGCTCAGATTTGACGATAATTCGGGGTATCAAATTCCAGTTCCCTAGCTTGAGTCAATCACAAATATTGACTGATGATGAGGAAAACTTCTAGTCTGCATAAGGCCACCTATCTAGATGGGGACTATATTATTCAATAACTGAGCGGGTTTGCATTTATATTTAGAGACATAAGATCACACGAATCCCAAAGCAACCTGTCACACTTAGTAACATGGCTTTTGGCAAGAAGCATAAAACCTTCTTATTTCTCACATGTATGCTACTGTTGCCACTATTAATCATGATGTGTTCACCCAAGCGGAAAACACGACACAGGTAAGACTATGATTCATGTGAACGGCTTCCCTTTGGCCTAGAAAAAAAATCTTGTGTTTCCTGTTTCCCGACCAACCCTGGAAAAAACTGCAGACTCTAGCCTTTTTTGGGAGGTGGACCTCTGCAAGAGACATTCATTTTTCAAGCTGATCGACCTTTTCTAGCTCCATGATCTGACCTGAGTGATGAAACATTGCACAATTGGTTTTTAAACACTGACATAGAAAATATAAGTGTCCTCATGCAAGTTTTGCTTTGTTAAAACTTAACTGTATGGTATAATTAGGATTACTAGAGAGCACCAAAATAAAAAAAAAGAAATAAAAGAGAAGATAATCCATACCTACCAACCCTAATTGTTTTCAGGACTGAAACAGGAAACACAACATTTTTTTTCCTAAGCCTTTGCAAAATCTGGTGGTTGGTACTGAATGGTGGCCACCTCTTCACTCCCTCCTGAAATATCGGAGATAACAGCGCGGTGATGAAATATAGATGAGAGGGAGCCGGGAGTCTGACTACCACCTGCGCTCCGATATTCACCATCAATTCTAATTGTTTTTTCTGGCAAATTTGTGCGTGAGACTTCATCTTACATCAATGCAATATTCAAATACGGAATCCCAAGTAATAGTCTGGGATGAAATTACTGCAGTCATAATTGAGCTGTCATTGCTGACAGAATAAGCAACATTTTATTATGGGCAAAATCTTTACCACAATTGTTACTATTCAGTACCACAGTTAACATTGGAAATTTTCATTCTTTGCTTTTATAAGGACTTAAACTAATAGACTAGGGCCTGATGTAATTTTTTAGTAAATTGTTGATCAAAAAAGAAAATAGCGTGGAGTTTCTTTGAAGATCAGATTGAATAGATACAGCTGTCCAAATTTTAACACCACTTTGATATACTTGTGGGAATATGTTTAACTGTTCAAATATGCAGACAGCTGGGATGGGCAGAATGCTACTGTGTACCCAGGGGACAGATTGCTGCCTATTACTTGCCCTACTTGTGACGCTTTACCCCTTTGACATGGGCGGCCCATGTTTAACCAGTCAATACTGCACCACTAGAATTAGCATTTCCAAGTGGATTCCATTGATGCGATGTAAAAGGAATATTTGTTCTACACAGTAGGATTGTTAAGTTGCTAGAGAAGCAACGTACATAGTTATTAACTTGGATGTACATGTATCAGGTAAGTCCAAATTTCATGTTCTCTTATAGTCTCAGATAGAGGAGGTCTGTTATTATTAGACTATACTGTAGCATTATATTTATAATATTATATACAGTATGGTTATTAATTGCACCTAGACATCTCATGGATTTCAACTCTTTGTAAACCAATTTCTACTTTCCATACATCTTGATGTACACACTGTGTATTATTGAATATTTCTGAAAATGAATATGGCAATACCTCATTAAATAGGGATTCCAATGCAAATACCCACCTGCAATGCATCATATTGCAAAAAGAAAAGAAGGCTTACAATTTGGAACCCCCTGTTACAGGTTTGCTACATACAACGTATTACAAGTATTTTGAGCCACGATATGATGTATTATTGTAGCTAGTACGTACTCTTATGGGGACAAACCATGTAGGAGCAATAAGGAAACCAATTTACTTTTGCCTGGGGAAAGACAGCATGCAGTGTGGACTTCTATATTCTGTACCACAGAGCACAAAAATCAATACGTCCCCCACTGTGGGGGTGGAGAAATATTGATCCAGTGTAGGTATGGGGAAAGGTAATATTGATCTGGACTTACAAGAGTCTACCACTTACTTCTGCCTTTTACCTTTTCCCTACTTAGGACACGTGAATTCGAAGTTTTGTATTCAATTTGGTCATGATAATGGGGCTTAGGTACATGTACAGTAACAGGGGATCTAAAGTAATTCTGATGTTCAATCCCAAAATATATAACGTTACATTCAAACAGAAAGCTTCTTCTATGTACAGGTAAAAGTAAAGGAAGTCATCCTCTTTTGAGGTGAAGAATGATGCATATGCTATGCATTATTTCATAGTGTACAAT